GGAAGTCACTGCCCACTGCACATGGTGATGGTGGAAGCATCCAGCCAGAGAGTACTGGTGGACAAGGCCTTCTCAGTGCCCAAGTGCGTGAGGTTGGCTCGGATATCGCATCATTCGCACAAGTTGTTGAGAAAAATCAGGGGGACAGTACCAAAAGAATTGAGAGATGACTTGAGTGAAATCTGGGGAGAAGAACTTTTGAAGTTGGAGAGAGAGAACACAAGCGATCACGAGAGACAAAACGTGATCGGAAAACCTGTGGGAAGTGCTCCAAACCTGGAAGATAACGACACGATGCATGAGAAAATGATGGAGCTCGAGCCTCTCTTGGAAGCCTCGGGGGAGCGTAACCTCAGGAGCATTGAAATCACCCATGGAGAATGCCCATGCCACTGTTTAGCGCAAACGGTGTGGTATCCAGATCACAAGAACCTTTGCCTGGTGTGGGATATGGAAGAAATCCGGTCGATCGGACTACCGGATCACCGACAGAAGGTGACGATCTTGGTAGTGAGTACGATGTTGGCTCTGAGATGGATAGAAGAGAATATAACGAAGTATCGGGAAGCGGGGACGCCAACGGCAGAATCAATACACGCGATAGACTACAGTAGGAGACTCGAGTTGTTTGAGACTGCGTGCAAGGTATTCGCCATACCAACGGAAGTCAGACATGTCTGGAGCCGTTTGAGGTACTTCCCATGGTTTCGGGCGACGCTGACGTCCTGGTTGTACATGACAACGAAAGATCACATGGGAAAACATCGAAAGGAGTATCGACAGTTCCAGGCCGAGATTGGGCCGGAAGCTTTCAAGAGACCCCTGTTAACCCATCGTAATGCAATCACGACAGGATGGAAGAGAGTGGGTAAAATGTCTAGAGACAATACCAAGGCGAGGGAATCGATACTAGAGGAGGACCTGGCGAAGAACGTGAGCTTGAGCCTGCACAACTCCTTTTGTTTGAACCGGGAATCTAGGGTGAAGGCACTACCCAACCAAGCAAAGAGGTTGCAAGAGCAAAAAGAATGGATGCGATCCTACGAGCAGCTGAAGGCTTGGGAGGAGATTGTGATTAGCTCCGATGATGAAGAGGAACTGTTGAGACAGTTTGCCGTATCTAGTACTTCAGGATGCAGTACCTACAAGGCGAAGAGTGCGAGATGAGCAGGTGGCTCGAATGGATCTTGAGTCTTGAGAGGGAAAGGGGGGCTTGAGCGTGGATCCGGGTGAAACTTGGATTCACGAAAAAGAAGTTTTAAAAAAAAGCAAATATTGTTATTAATATACTATATTTATTATATAAATCAAAATGCTGCATGACAATTTCCTGATTGAATAGGACAAAAGAAATTTTAAATGATTGGCTTGGAAAGCAAGAATTCAAGGGTGCAGGTGTGTGCAGATTTTGATTGCTGTTTAGCGATAGTGTGAAAATTTTACATGGCTGTGAATTTTGGGGTGTAGATAAGCTTAAGTCTGCTGCAAACTTCTGTAAATGACCACTGGCACTGTATCTTGAGTAACACTCGGTTTTCTGGGACTCACTGGCAGAAGACAGCACGCGATGAGGACATCGATCTCGAGTCCGGGGAGTATGTGCCAGTCGGTCATATTTGGAAGTTTGACCTTGAGAGAAGCAAAAAACACTTGATTTAGGAGAGAAATTTAATTTTTCAAAATTTCGAATGGAGCATGTCATGCACGATTTTCTCGCGATAACTAAAAAATCAGAAAAAGAGAAGTCAGAACAATCGAGTAACAATCGCGGGAAAGTTGCTAAATAAAACGGTGGGAAATTGCTATTCGCAATTTCTGTCACAATAGAACAAGAGTAGAGCTGTCCCATCCAAAACAGAGACGAGAGCATTCCCACGAACTGGATTGTTGTGACTGGAGTACTATTATTAACTGGACCAGAGTGAACCTTCGGTGGAAAGGTGGACAGCTAGAGTGTCCCAATGGTTCACGAGAACTTACAGTCTAGAGAAAAAACTTGTTATTATTATTAAAACTGACTAACATTAAACTCATTTTAGTTACTTTATTAATTCTTGAGTTGCTTACCGGCTTATTTACTTCCTGGTTCTTGAGCGTGCTACAATGTGAGTACTTAATTTAAATTCCTAGAGTGTGTTTTATAATTGTTATGTTGAGGTAAGGCGAGTTTTAGGTTGATCCATCTGAAATGGATCAAAGTTCCACTGTCTAATAAAAAGTAACTTAACGGATTGTTCCAACCCAGTTTTTAACGGCGTTCATGTATTTTGGGTATCTAGAGACCTAAGTATGGGGATGTTTCTAATTCTAGAGTGGGGGGATATTTTAGTAGTAGCCTTTAAGCTGTAACGGGTCGTAGTCTCATGTCACAAACGAACCGAACTGGCTCCGACCGTTCTTGAGGTAGAAAAACACAAGAGATGGTGTCCCTGACCCTTGAGCCAGTGGTTATAGGGCCTATTTTTCTTAAGCCTCATGTATGACTGCAGTAGACGAATGTTACATTGGTTTTTTCGGTTATTTTTTTATGTTTTTTGTTTTTCTTGGGTACTATACTAGTTTTTGTTTGGTTTTGCTTATATCTTTAAGTGTTTTTGGTCACAAACCACTCAGGGGATGAGGAGACGGCCGATCCCCCCACCCTTCCTGGTTCGTGAATTTTCGGTCTTAACCAGGTTAAAAAACTATTCACGGCAATTCGGAAGGCCTCCGCGTTCCGAACTACCCTTCCGCCCCGGCGGTTTAGGCCTATTAAGGGCGTTAATGTGAGCATCCGCTCGGCGCGGAGTGCTCGTTAACGGTTCTGCCGGTCATGATGTTAAAAAAGAATAACACCCAGGAGCGCCATAAAAACATACATGTAACATTCGCCCGGAAGATACATATCGACCGATAACAAAACTAAGTCTTAAGACGACTGGCTAGCGTCTAAACAGAGCTTTGCATGTTTTTCACCGTCTCTACCAAGCCAGTACTTTTCGGTGGTCTTTCTTACATCGGGTCGACAAAAACGTTACTGCTCTCCGGCTTCGACCAGAACGCTCAAATTAACTGAATTACATGCAAAGATAGTGAGCTCATGGCTGGGTCTCTGTATCCCCAGACCACGAGGTCACTCCTAAAAACAGGGCTACTACTTATCATATTACTATTGTTTTTGTTCAGTAGATAGAAATCATCATCTCCATCGAAGATGGATCAACCCTTTCCCCCACTCCTAGCTTCTCATCCTTATCAAAACGAATCCAGTTGTTAATTAAATTCAATTCAGGACATGACAAGAAGCTGAAAGTTTATATAAAAGGCTAAAAGTTCCAGTCCCGAAACCCTTCCGGATTCTTGAATCCAGTGAATCAAGCTCCTTAAGTTCAATTTCACACCAATCCGGAAGGCTTGTTCTCACCCTTCACCGTTGTTGGCAACGGCCTTGCAACTATTGTAGCAGCACAATAGTTGCAACTTGGAACGTTCTCTGCTATTGTAGTTCGTTGTTGTTTTTCTTTAATCTCGATTTTCGTTCTGTTCGCAATCACAGATAAAGTTGTTCTGTTTTTCACTCGCTTTTTGTTAAAATGGCCGTTTCAGCATTTCTCAGAAATGTGACGTCATCATTCGAATTTTTGAAAATTTAAAATACTAGAATATTCTAGCCCTCACCGTTTGGCTAAACGTTCCAATAACGTCGCTAATCCTTCGAAATCATCAACTCGGAAGGCTTACTGCTCAAAATTCGAATCCTGCATAAATTGCATTTTGGCCATTCTGGTCGAATGTCACATCTACAACTACAGTCTCACAAACCAAGACTCTACTCTTCAACTTCCTTAAGCAGCAACTTCAATCAACCTTCAATCTCGACAATCCATGCACTTTCTTCATCAAATGCCGTTGCAACACATGTCGTTCCTGAACATTAACAATTTAACTCAAAGCTTGAATTACGCAAACTCAAAATTTCACTTTTATATGTTGTATCATTCACTAATAAAGTTTATTTCTTCTTCTTCATCGACGTCTATAAAAGGAAAGCAGGTTGCTGCGCATGTAGCACGAAATGTTCCGATCACATTCATAAAATGGATGGCCCTATCCAGTTTTTGCACTGATACTGGTTTCGACTTTTTCCATTTTTCCCAGCTGGATGTTAACCGCAGATATCCACGCCATTAGCCCCCGTTTCGTCAACAATTTGATCTAGTTTCAACTCGTTTTTCCAATTACGGTCATATCCGAACTGATCTACTCTTGTTGCTTCCGTGTTGCCGGCACGTTAGTTCTGATAAAGTTGGCCAAAAGTTTTATCATCAGTGGGAATGGCGTTGATTGAATGTCCATCGGTCTAACACTCCAAAGGAGGCCACGAGGTGGATGCAGGGTTCATGCGCTAGGGGCGCTCCGTCGCTGTCACCATGTAACAAAGCTAATAAGTTTAGATAAGATGTGAAATCATGGCGTGACAATTCATAGTTCAGCAATGGAATGTCATTTTTGGCTCCCAAATGGAAGCTAAATAATTCCGAAAACTAGTGATACTTGTTTAAAATTAAGTTTTAAGGTCTTAAATTAGGTATAATTTAGCTTGTAAGTCTGCTCGCTGGCTTAATTCGCTCGAATTAAGACAAAAAATTAAAAATTTTGAACCGGTTTTTATCGACACTGGGAAAATTTTCATAGATTTTTTATTGTTGTACGGATCACGACTGAAAGGTCTTTATGTCCCAGTCCGATGATTTTTTTTGGTACCTGTTTTTGCGTGGGAAACAAAAAACTAAAACACCCGAATACAAAGTTCCTCCCCATTCTCAATGGTCGGAATAATAAAACCATAATGAAGACTATGTTTCTGACTGCTCGAACGTTAAGGCCAAAGAATGTTTTTTACCAAAGAATGAAATGACAAAGATGTTTTTTAAGAGTGTCATTTGTCACTACCTACCTACCTTCTAAATTATTTTCACTGCTTGCTGATTTTCGAATAAAGTAATTGAGAGGTTTTCTTTTAGGTTAGCTATGCCCAAGAAAGCAGGAAAAAAGAAAAATAAGTTTGATTTCCTTGATAACGACAAACCCGAGACAGATGGAATTACTGAAGCCTCTAAGGTTCTGTTGTTTGTTTAAAATGAATTGAAACATTTTGGTACGGATGAATTGAACTGAATCTTCCAGTATTCTCTGTGGTGAAATTGTGACTGTATCTTTAGGAAGTTGTTAGTGATTTGAAAGACTTGAGTATCAAATCCCAAGCCCCAGAAGCACCTGTGTTCGAAACAGAAACAGCCACCAATGGGAAGTCGGACGCTCTCGAAGATGATGAAGAGGAAAAAATGTACGACTCTGAGGAAGAAGCAGCAAAACTGAGGCTGGAGCGCGATGAGAAGTTGGCAACTGAATCAGCAGCCAAGATGTCAAAGAAAGATATGCGCAAACAGAAGAAAAAGGAAAAATTACAGTCTCAATACGACGCTATTATTAATCATGGTGATGGTGACCAATTCACACTAGCACAGCAAGATGACGCTTATAAAGGTAAGGATTAAAGAGTTCGCATGTCAATTAGGGGTCAAATAATAAGGTCAAGAATATGGCTTTAAGTTGCGGATGATTGAAAGCGATATGACAGCCTTCATAACTCGTCGATACTGAATCAAGAGATAAAAAAAACAAGAAATTGGAAAATAAGCTTAGCGTTGCCTTGCTAATAGTCGCAATCGCACTAACTGAACATAGATTCAAATCTGTTTTCTGAGACTGACTAATATACTTCCGACATGCATAGAATCCTCCCAAACGCTACGTAACTGCTTGGTTATATAAAAACTCGGTGCAATACGCAAAAATGGATGTGGTCGAGGCGTCAGATCCAATTTAACGACATCGAAAAACGTTCGTTGATTTATGATATTTGGGCTCTACCAAAATAGTTTTTAAAACCCAAGACTGTTGTAAAACTAAGGCTGAATCAGGCTGAGTCAGCTTACATTTAGAATGAGAAATACCAGTTTTGCGAACATGGTTCGCGTTTTTTCTACAGGTTTGGTTCGCAAAACCTCTAAAAAATAACAGGGGCAAATTTGTTATAGAATCCTATGCTTCTTTGTACAGTAGCCCAATTTTTCTCTAATCAAAGAGCCAAACATAAAAATATAACAAAAAGAAGCTTGATTTTTAGGGCTGGAAAACGCGATTGACATTCAAATTAACCGATTTAGCTTATCGGCAAGAGGCAAAGAACTATTTGTGAATGCTGATTTGCACATCACAAATGGCAGGAGATATGGCCTTGTAGGCCCAAACGGACACGGAAAGACAACACTTTTACAACACATTGCAGCTCGCAAACTAAACATTCCTCCGAATATAGATGTACTGTTATGCGAACAAGAAGTTAGGGCTGATGATACTCCGGCGTTTGAAGCAGTCTTAGAAGCTGACACAGTTAGAACTTCGTTGCTAGCCAAGGAGGCTGAACTTACACAGCAGTTAGAAGCCTCGACAGGAACATCAGCAGAGTCAATAGCAGAACAACTGAAAGAAGTCTCAGAAGAGCTAAAGGCGATCGGAGCAGATTCAGCGGAGTCGAGAGTGCGCCGAATCCTAGCGGGTCTCCAGTTCACAGAAGAGATGATGCGCAGACCTACAAAACATTTCTCAGGAGGTTGGAGGATGAGGGTATCTTTAGCCAGAGCCCTGTTTGTGGAACCGACACTTCTTTTGCTAGACGAACCGACAAATCACTTGGACCTCAATGCTGTCATCTGGCTCGATCACTATCTTCAGGTATCTAACATAATTTCATATTGATAAAAAGTGAAGTGTGAGCGTGTAAATAATATATGTTATCCTTTTTGTTTTCTTAAAGGCATTTTTGATTAAGTTAGTAAAGTTCCAATTTGCTTGATAAATGATCGCGCTATAAAGTTTCGCCAAGAATGATCCTCGAATTTTTCAGACTAGATTCCAGGAAAAAGTGTTGAAAATTCAATAAAATGAAAAGTTTTGCTCAATATTTTAACGTATTTGTGGAATCTTGCAGGAGTGGAAGAAGACATTACTAATAGTGTCTCACGACCAGAGCTTTCTGGACAATGTGTGCACGGACATCATTCACCTGGACATGCAGAAGCTGTTCTATTACAGAGGCAACTACTCCCAATTCAAACACATGTTGACTCAGAAGAGAAAAGAGCAGCTTAAAGAGTACGAGAAACAGGAGAAGGCCATCAAGGAGATGAAGGCCAACAACAAGAGTAAAAAGGTACAGATACTCAAGGGCATCACTTGGCATGCTGAAGTTACAGAGAAAAAATTTTTAAACATTTTTTTAAACTTGTCATCGTCGAATTTTTGTTGCGTTCATGGAAGTGAATAGCAATCTTTGTCCGAAAAGCTTCATTTTTTAAATCGAAGTTATGAATAGTTGGGATATAAATTGTTCCGAACCATACATTTCATGAAGCAAAAAGCGAACAAGCTGAAAGCTGCAATAACTACCCGTTGTTATTTGACAAATACGAACCCGTTGTTATTTGACAAATACGAAGTTGGATTGAGAAACTGGAAATAGAATAGAAGCAATATGAATTGTGGAAGCAAAGCAAGAATAACGCCATGCGGAACAATTTTTGTTTTACAGGCAGCCGAGAGTGAAATGAAAAGCAAGCAAGCTAAAAAGGCAGAGAAAGATAAGAAAACGGGGAAGAACAGAGGCCAAGAGGACGACGAAGATCAGGGACCAGCTGAGCTGCTGAAGAGACCCAAAGAGTACAAGGTCAAGTTCAATTTCCCGAACCCGCCCAAACTATCCCCACCCATATTGGGCTTGCACGACGTCACGTTCCAGTACAACGATAAAAGTCCAATATTGTTCAAAGACATCAATTTTGGAATTGATATGTCAACGAGGATAGCAATCGTGGGTCCCAACGGGGTCGGCAAAAGTACATTTTTGAATTTATTAATGGGCAAATTGGAACCCTCGAAAGGAGAACGGACTGTGAACCACAGGGTAAGAATTGGGTTTTATAATCAGCACTCGGCTGACCAACTTGACACGACTAAGACGCCAGTGGAGTATCTGAATTCGAAGTACGACTTGGGATACCAGGATGCGCGCAAGTGTCTGGGATCATTTGGGCTTGAGGGACACGCACATACTATCAAGGTAAAAAAAACTAGTTAACAATTCTGTCACATTCAAGAAGTAAATATTGAATCAGTGGAATGAAACTGACGAATGTAAGCGTGTAAACAAAAGCTAGTGAAATATTTGAACGTTAATCTGAAATATTTGTTATTTTAATGGGACAATGAGGCAGTTTTCATCTTTGAAATTCTGAGAATTTTTCATTTGATCAGTTTTACTTTGCTCAAATAAATGGTTAGTTTTTTATGGATTGAGAGCTTACGTCGAAATACTGTTTTATTGCGGTCAGATATCAGACTTGTCCGGAGGGCAGAAGTCTCGTGTGGCGTTTGCAGATCTGTCGTGTTCTGCTCCTGACATTCTGATCTTAGACGAACCCACCAATAACCTGGACCTGGAATCCATCGACGCCTTATCGGACACTCTCTCATCATTTGGGGGTAATTTTGACCTAACCTTACCAAAAAAAGTCAAAGGTGCCCCATGATTTAAAATAGAGACCACGAATACACAAATTAGAAAATAGATTTTTTGATGGGTTTAGCATTCGGATCAAGTTTACATCCTCCCCCCTAAACGTGTTTAGGGGGGAGGATGTTAACTTGGTCCTAGCATTTTTCAAAAATTAAATAGAAGACGGGGGCCTGTAAAAATTAAAACCAAATTGCGCCACGGCGAAAACCATATTCTGCTACAGGGGTATAGAGAACTGTTTTCCTAGCAGCCGTAATTTCACCTACAGAAGCGGATTACGGCGTGCAAAAATTATCTTTAAGAAACATAAATTCTAGCATCGATCCGTATACACATCACAGTTTTAAGTGTATCATATTTTGGGGTTTATTTTGCATTCACTGGGACTTCGCTTCTCATAAATTGCCAAAAACTAAAAAAAAAGATTATAGATTATGAAATTTTATTGGAACCAAGCAAGTCCGAATTCTTCGCGGAAAGGAGGATAAGGGTCGAGGGTTGTGTTAGCCATTGCCTCTTTATTTTCTCATTGACAGACAACTGTTGCTGTGAATAAATATATATTTAGCATTAATCTTGGGCGAGTTTAGGTGGCGTTATTCTGGTGTCGCATGACGAGCGTCTTTTGCGAGTGACCGAGTGCTGTCTATGGAGCATAGAAGACAAAACAGTGTTCGAGATAGAGGGAGACTTCGACGACTACAGAGACTACGTCCTACGCAGTCTAGAGGAAGTGCTGAACAAATGACGTCATTTCGTTATTGCAATAATTAATAATTTGTGGTCTCATAAAACACCCATAGACTATACGAGGACGAGATTACTTACCTTGAGACGATGTTGGGAAGAGAGAAAGAGAGTTTGTGCTATTTGAAAATTGAATGATATTTTTAAATATCTGGCTGAGAATTGGTTGTGTTTTGTTGATGGGATTGAATCCTTGTGAAAATGCGGAAATGTTTAATCTAATTTAAGTATCCAGAAACTACTATTCTCAAGTGGAAAACTAGACTCCAAATGACAATTAAGAATTAAGACTATTTATTCATGAGGGAAAGGACCAACATACGAGCTGTACAGCTCATCACGGCGAACCGCTGTTGCGTCCCTGCTTAAGAATTAAATGCCATTTTTTTCGTTATTTTTCTGGGCTGGGTAATGTTTCATCACCCTCAATCAACGAGCACGGATCATGGTGGGCCTCGAACATCCGACCTTTCGATTGACAGGCGGAGACGTAACCACTTCACTACCGCTCCCCACTTCACTACCGCTCCCCTAAAACACTACTTATTTTTGATCTCTAGTACGAGAGAATAAAAGAAGACCATGAAATATGGCCTTTGCTGAGCTGAGGGACAATTTTGAATATCTGAGCTTTGCGAAAACACCAAAAACCACTTATGCTAAGAATTTCAGTTCTCGGCCAAATTTTTGAGAAAGTGGACAGAAATGTACTCCTCACCCAAATGAACTATATATTGGTGCCTAAGGCGTTCTAAAAAATAGGTTAGTTTGCTTAGCCAAAAGTTGATGGATGTAGTACCAAAAGGGGAACTCTTGAGCCATTATTTTTGAATAGTTAAGCATTATTGTGAGCCCGATAAAGCATGATAAAACAGAGGAAAACCTTCGGGCATCAAATTGAAACTGTGATATTTTGGAAAGTTTTTAAGAGTCCATGTTTTTTAAGAGTCCAGAGTTCAGGTTCTTTGCACAAGCGAAGCGGAAATACAAGAGCGGAAATGGTGCGAAAAAACGTCAACGATTTCTAATTTCGGAAATTGTTTTTTATTACTTAGGTTTCTCAGCCGACTGAAAAATTAACTCATCCAGTTTTTTTTTTCAATTTCGGATTACTTTAATTAAGAGTAGTGAACGTAGTCAGTACTCTTATATGAGTCTTGTTGATTTTTTTGTTTTTTTTCAGGAAAAAGTCCTAAAATTTGTTCACGCTCATTTTTTCGCAGCTTGACTTGTGATTTCTTGTTAAGTTCAGTTTATTTGTATTGATAAAGGAAGGCAAACTCCAATATCGAACAGCAAAATTGTAAAGGTCACGAAAAAGTGATCGACTTCTAATTTCGAAAATGGAAATTAATTATCAGATTTTCAGCGAAATAAAAGTCTTACGTATTGTTCCAGTTTTCTCAAATTGGGTTAATTTTAACAAAAAATTAATTGTTCTACAAATTCAAAGAGCTTTAAGGCCATCTTTTTTTTAGAAATTCAGAAGTTGAAGATACTCGTTCAGTACTCTTTTCCAACTTTCAGTTGGCTATGTTCAAAATAGTGTCAATCATGTGTTGTTCCTGAAATTCAAAGCTCTCTATGGTCATATAGTTTTTCATTCGAAAGTCGAAAATAACGTTTTCTCCGGTTTTCTTACGTTAGTTGTCTTTTTCTACTGTCTGTTGGCAATGTTTGGTGCTTTTTTAACAACCTCAGTAGCATAGTTCTGTTTTCTGTTTCATTTTAAGAGTCAATTTTGGAATTTTTTAGGTCGTGATTTTGATTTCAGGAAAAATCTTTAAATTTGTTCATGCTCAAATCTACTACTTTTCGCGGTTTGACTTTTGGTTTCTTCTTAGGTTCAGTTCATTTGATTTGTTAGAAGGAAGGCAAACTCCTATATCGAAAAGCGAAAATATAAAGGTAATGGAAAACGTGATAGACTTTTCACTTGGAAAATGGAATAGTGTTAAAATTTCAGTAAAAGTCTTAAATTTAGTTTTTTCTCGCTAACATTTGATTTTTCGCGGCTTGTTTTTTGAGTTGTTTCAAATTAAGTTCATTTCCTTTGTTAAAAGGAAGGCACACTCCTCTATCCAACTATTTTATTTTCAGATGCGAAACAATAAATTACCCTATTGATCCAGTTGTCTCAAATTGGGTTTATTATATACAAAACGAGTCAATTATTATTTTTTCTAGAAATTCGAAGAGCTTTAAGGGCCTGTTTTTTTTTGTTTTGTTAACTTGCATCCATTGACTTTTTTTCCAACTGTCTGTTGGCTATATTCTAAGTTTGTATTGCAGCATATGTTGAGGATAAATATAGTTCATAGTTAGCTAAATTTTATACATGCTTTTTCAAATTTCCCGTTAGACATTTTTGCATCAAATGTTTAGTGGTTTTTGGATGTATGGTTTCTGGTTTTTTTTTCTGTTCCTAAAGTGTGTGGAAGTAGTTTTAGTTTTGGACTAGTTCAGTGTGTTCTTGGTTTCAACAATTTTTTGAAACTGTTTCAAGTTGATGGTTTAGCGTATTGTTTTAATATGTCAAAAAACTTTTCGAAAAATGTTTCCAGAATTGTTTTTTATGCAAATGTGACTCAACTGTTTTGATTACAAAGGAATGTGGCAGCAAGTGTTGCACGGGATCCAGGAGTGTGGAGTACGCCTGAGATTTTTGAAAAAAGAAAATACTTCGTGTTTTCCCTTTACTGGCATCTTTTTTGTAGTTTTTGTGGTGATCCAGCTAGCTCTCTTACCTTTTCGTATAACTGTCAAATTTGATAAGTCTGATGTTAATTGGGTTATTTTCTAGGCTCTCAGATATTTTTTCAGTTTCTTCAAGTTTTTGCAGGGTAATTGTTTGTAATTTCGGCATTCATTTTTTTGAAGTTTTGTTTTTCAATTTTTTCTTTCTTTTTGATCTTATACAATAGCAAATAGCGTACAGGGCTTTTTCATCCCCGATTGTTTCAGTTGGATATGCAAATTATTTCGCTGCAAGATTTAATGAACAGTTTTTGAGTACATTAGAAATTTTCGAAACTCAATTTTTTGACCGAAATTTATCTCATAGTTTCCATCTATTGCTTAAAATTGGATGGATTTAAGCCCGAATCTTTCTTTTGTTTCAGGTAATTGATTTCTATAATAAATGTAGGTCAGTTTTTCTTGATTTTTCTAGCCAACGATTTCTTCGAAACTCATTCAAATTTTTCAGTTTTCGTTAGAAACACATTATTTTTTTGACGTTTGGCGCTTTATTTTGTATCGCTTTATTCAGATTTAGATTTGAACTGATATAGCAGTTTTGATTGAACTTATCTGCTGAGGATAATTCTGACCGCACCAGACATGAAGTTTGAGCCTTTGCCCTCTTATGTTGTTCCTAAAGTGTACGATCTGACTGTGGACTCTGACCTTGAGAGTTTTACCTTCACAGGCAAACTTACAGTGGATATTACTGTTTCACAGGTAGAGTTACTCTTCATTTTTCAAACTCTTTTCACCGTTTTCTCTTCTACCTAAACATAGTGAGTGCAATCGTATACCTTCATCGTTTTACATGCTATTATGGTCTAATGCGTGATATTACCGTCTATAGCATGCATAAAAAGTGTGTTCAGGTTAATTAATTTGTTAACAATGCATAACTGCTTTGCATCGCCACAGCGTTAAACTCAGGGGGAGGATTTAGGATTTTCTCGAGGGGGGCGGATTTTCAAAAAATTTTCCTAAAATTTGTCGACCTTTTTTTTAAGTCGACTAAATTGATTTTCCGAGCTCTGCCAAAGCACTAAAAATACCCTGTTTTGGCCATACTGAGTTTTGATGCCTTTTTTTGAAAATTGTAACCAAAAAATCGCTTTTTCTCAGCGCGCGCTCCCCTCTCAAAATTAGTATATTTTGGCGCCCTTAGAAAAATTTCAGTGTCAGCCAGCCAAAATTGGATATATCAAAATAGTACAAAGGGGGGAGGGACCCTTTGGGTCGGCAAAGGGTCAAATCCCTGATGAAAAAAGGCGTCCGCCCCCTCCCCCCTCCCCCCAATCCGCCCCTGATTAAACTATTAATCAACTTTACCCTTGCGATAGGCATGGGTATTGCAATCTGATGTTCGTTTTTTATCCCGTAAGTAACTTTGTTCAAAAAATCTCCAATCACTGTTCATACCAATTTCTCGCAATTAGAAATATATCTGAGTTTGTAATCTTTCCACTCCTTGAGTGGTCGGAAGTTGTGTTTTGATGATGTAAGTAAAAATATGTTTGCCGTAGAAGTGTTGCCTAATTTTCAATTAAAACAGGCGACGGCGACCAAAAAATGAACTGTTACTGTTGCGATTAGTAAATGTCACAATTCATCAAAAATGGTTAATCTTGCGATTAGCAAGTGTCATGAAAATGAGAACTGGGCTTCTTTTTCTTTAAACAGCTGCTCTAACAAACATCTGACCTCTTTCACTCCTTCCTGCTATACATCACTGCTTTCACTTCTTTTTGGCCTTTTGTTTTAGTTAAAAGCGTTTTTTTGTTTCGATTATTGCCATTTTATACTTCTCAATTAGAGCAGGTTAGAGAGCAGTTTTATGGGTTTTTGATCGTCGTTTTTTCCATGGAAATTCCAGATAGTTTTTTATTTTTTCTTGTAGTTTTCTGTGTTATAGGTCCTATTTTGGATGCTTTTTCAGCTAGATGAATTTGGTCTCAAATTCTGACGACTGAGTTACCAGATTTTTTTTTGAATTGTACGTTTGACGCCGTAAATTTAATATTGATTAGTGTAATTTCTTGAAACTATTGTAGGCTCTTGTTAAAAGGAAAGCAAACTCCACCATTGAACAGCAAAATTTGTGGAATAATAATTTTACCCATTGATCCTGTTTTTTCAAATTGGGTTTGTTTTATTTAAAAAGTTGCAATAATTAATTGTTCATGAAATTCGAAAAGCTTTCTGACCATATATTTTTCTAAATTCGAAAGTTTTTTTTGTGTTTTTTTTTCTTTTTTCAATAATTTTCGCGTATCCTTATCCTTGTTTGGTCTAAGTTTTGCTGACGTAAGTATTAAGAGTCGATGAACGTAATGAAGACTCTTAAATAGATCTTGGTGATTTTTTTTTAGTAAAAAGTCATAAACATTGTTCACGCTGATATTCGATTTTTCTCGGCTTGAATTTTTTTTTTTTTCAAGTTCAGCACATTTCATTTGTTGAAAGAACGGCACGCTTCGCTAAACAGTAAAAGTGTAAAGATATCGCAAAAAGTGATCGACCTCTAGTTTCGAAAGTGGGTTTTAATTTTCACGTTTCCCAGCAGAATTTTTTTTATAATGATCCAGTTTTCTTCAACTAGTTTTTATCAAGAAATGCTTCAATCATAAATTGCTCTTGAAATTCTAAGAGCTGTAGTGTCATACAGTTTTTTAGATAGCAATTTGAATTTTTTTATAGAACCAGTCAGTTTTGTTCTGTTTCCTTGCGTTCATTGACTTTTTTCCAACTGTTTGTTGGCTTTGTTTGAAGTAGGCAGTCATGAGACCATCAGGGTACAGTACTGATTTTTTTCATTTCTCGAGATACAGCTTGAGCCTTAAGTGATTGATCGCAGCTTATTTTGTAACCATTTGTCTGTATCGCTATGGATGCAAAGCGCCGCTTTGCCTTTGTGTAAATATAATAAAATCCTAGGAAGTCAGTTCTTTGAAAAGTAGTCAGCAAAATGTTCTTTCGGATAAATTAAACAATGATCTGTTCAGCCAACAAAGGAAGTACTGTTGAACTCACTGGACCTCGATGTGTCATCTGCCGTGCTGAGTCAGGGCAAGAAAACTGTGAAGGGCACGGTCAATTATATCAAGGATGAAGAGAGGGTTGGTGTTTTGAGGAATAAATGTCTCCAAAAATTTTTTTAAGTTTGGCTGTTCGAATTATTATAATGCCTCCTCGTAATCTGGAGTTGTAAATTTGACTAGATAATCCTAATTTTCAATCTAGTTCACCAAAAAAGCTAGTAGAAATAGTAAAATTTTGCGGAAATCCACTGTAACGGCTTGTTGTTGGAACAGACCATTTTTTTTTTTTGCAGATTTCTGTATCATTCGATGAGAGTTTGAGCTTTGGTGATGCTCATTTGGCAATCGAGTACAATGGACGTATCAATAGCACCTTGCGAGGATACTACAGGTAAATATGTGCGTATGCATGGCAATTATACGTATAGTTTTTTAACTTTGCTGGAAATTTTAGATTTTTGGATTGACCGCATGTTCCTTAATTTCAACTGCTAATTTTTATAGTCGAATGCGCTTTATGTCTTGCAGAAACTTGCATTTTAATATCATCATCATCTCAGTTGTTTTTCTTGTATTCAAGAGTGTTAGATCCTCATTTCAGTCAGATCGTCCCCAATCTTCACCGTTAATTTTCCCTAGCTCTCAAGCTGAGCTTAGATTTCCCCTATTAGTCTCAAAACAATTGAATTAGCCCATCCTTAGATAAGAATTGCTATGTCCCAGCTCTGAAGATGATATTAGGTTATCGAAATAAAAAGGGTTTTTTCAAGACGGTCTTTTCAACTGATGTGAGCTAGAAGTCAAGCAAAAAAATTGATGAAGGCTGGAAAGTAAAAACGATTGAAAACAGAGACTTAAAAGGACACTTAAAATTTATAAAAAGCTGTCTCAGAAATCTGGAAAGCTTGGGTAGACCCTCGGAGCAGGATTCAGGCCATCTTCGATATAAGCTTCCTGCGGGACAATTTTTTGGGACATGGTCTGTGTCATGAAAAATGGTTGAAAAAAGGGCAGTTTTCAGATTTTCTGTTCTATTTTCAGCAGAATAATTTGCATTATGCTCTCAATCTGATGAATTGTTCTTTTTGAATCATTGTTTTCACTAACTAATTTTGTAGCTTATAATTAACTCGATTTTGTGCCGTATCTATAAGAACAACAGAAAGATTGTGTTTTTCTATTTTCTGAAAAGTATGTTTTGGAATTTTCTTTGCAATGATTACTTTGGTTTTAGTTGCGCAGCAACCGGTAATTATTGTTTGAGTATATTTTATGGCAAACTGAATCGAGGTTTCATTGTTGCCTTCATACTTTTTTACCACATAACAGAACAGAAGACTCCTCCCACCCAGGCAAATTTCAGACAGTGACCCAATTCCAAGCTACAGATGCCAGAAGGGCGTTTCCCTCTTGGGACGAGCCAGCTATCAAAGCGCAGTTTGACATTACTCTCATCGTGGACAAGGAACTAACGGCACTGAGCAACATGCACGAAGTGTCAAGTGAACCGTTGCCTGGGAACAAAAATAGAAAAGTAATTAGTTGTGCTTTTTAAGGTTCGCATTATCATTCTAATATTCCTAAGAACTGAAAAATTGCATTTAAAAGCGGCAAAAAATATCTAGCAACTGCACAGTTGTCATGACAATTAATGTTTTTGTCTCTCTACAGAGCCCTGAAACGTCTACTTGTCTGAAAAGCAGAAAACTCAGGCGTTTTGGCGATTGGGAAAGAGTTCTAAGCATTAATCATTTCCTTTAAATTTTTGTTCTTGATATAAAAATGCAATATTTTACAAAGCAATTTTTGACCGATTTTCGAAAAATTAAAAGTTCAGTCGAGATCACAGGTTCTGGAATACTCCCTCGATAAGTGGAAATTTTTTTGACTTTTCTCGAAACTTAAACTTTCAAATCTGATATTAAATATTTCATCAAAACAACATGTAGCTCGTAGGAAGATGGCGCAGTTTCGCCCTTGTGTTTTTGAAAAATATTGCCTCAGGAAACGTCCAATTTTTGAAACTTGACCGTTTTATGGCTGAAAGTTCATAGGTTAAGGTTTCAATCGAGAAAGCCGTCTGGATGATTTTTGTTGGACTTTTCTTAAAAAAATATCCTGACTATTGAAGATTAACATTTCAATCGAAATAACAGGTTTTTAGTTTATTGCGCTGCATGAGCCGCTACGCTGTAATTTTTGCAGAAAAGTATTAAAGCTTTCTTAAAAGTAAATGTGTTTTTATTTTTGGCCTTTTTTTGGCTTTCATCAAAAACTACCCTGCCTAATCTGGAAAGAGTTCATTCGAACAAAGAATTTGCGATAATATTTCCTGTAGAAGTGGCGATTCACTAATTTTTGGATACAGTATAATTTCTGAAACATGCACCGTTTTGCAATCTGTGCAATTTCTCTTGGAAACTACTCTGCCAGGTCCGCCATTAAGTTCAGTTGAAACAACGGGTAGTAATAATGTCTCTTACAGAAGCGGCGTGTCCTTTATTTTAGAGGAGAGACTACTACTATAGTTTTGGGTAACACGCAATTTCTTTGATTTTTAGAAAGTTACGCATTTAATCCCGCATACAGTACAACATATTCTCAAAATTATCTAACAGATAACTTCAAATTTAGCTCGGCCGCTACTTTGTCGACACGAGAATTTCTTTTTGGAATTTTAATACCAGTCTGATATATCACTCGATATAATTTCGCTCGCGAGAGCAAATGACTTGTAATCAGGAGCTAGACTTTGCCTGTTAATTTTTTTTGGAATTTTCATTTTCTCGAAAATTACCTCTCAAATCTGAAATGGGTAGACGGTATCTCCCTTACAAAAGCGCCTAATTACTTTTTTACTATATTTTAATAGAGAAACAACTAAGGTTTTGGGTTTTTGAAATATTTGCATTTCATCCCGCATCAACAAAACGTTTTCTAAAAAATATCGAACTGGTGCTTCCAGCTTTAGCTACGCCCCTGTTTTTCTAACTATAATTGAATGTTGTTCTGTAGGATGTAATTCAGGGGCGGATCTAGGATTTTCTCGAGGGGGGGGGGCGGAATTTCAAAAAAATTTTCCAAAATTTTGACTTTTTTTTTTAGGTCGACCAAATTGATTTTTCGAGCTCTCCCAAAGCACTGTTTTGCCCCTATTTTGGCAAAGTTTTCTGCGCTGCAGGCAAATTTTTGAAAAAACAGTCAAAAAAAGCCGTTTTAGGGCACTTTTTGAAAAATTTTGACAAAAAAATAGTGTCCCCCCCCCCCCCTAAATCCGCCCCTGATGTAATTTACTTACTCTGATTTTCAATAATTTAATTGATTTTTTTGTTCAAACGGGTGCGGTATTTATATTTTATCAGCTGATTACACTAGCGTTCAGAGTAGCGTGTTAGTACGAACCTTCTATTTTTTCTAAGCTAACTCGTCGCAAATAAAAGTGTTAATAGGAAGTGGAAAGTGTTCAGTTATTTGGTGGCACTTCTACTATAATCACGATCTAGCTGTGAACTGCTCTGTGCTTTATTTGTGGCTAGTGTTTGTGATGTATTAAGCGTGCGTGGCTGAGTTATTAGTGCATGATACTCATAATCTTTAGGTCGCAGATCGAATCCGAGACCTAGCCGAAGTTTTTCTAATTCGAGGCTTATTTCTACTTTTCTTATGGCACTTTAAGCTGCTTTTTGTCGTGTTCTCGCTAGTGTTCGCTTGTGGTCGTGTTGTTCGCTAATGTTCATTTTATGTTGCGTAGTTTCAAGGACGAGTTTTAAAATGTTTTTGCTTGTTTCAGGAGGGTTAAAACGTTTTGATTTGGAAAATTTTGTAGCTTGTTTTTTTTTATGGCTACTATTTCGTTTTCGGCTTAATGAGTGTCGACACTTTTTTTTCTCATTAATTTACGTTTGTTCATTGATTCTCAATGTTTGTTAAGGCTGTTTAGGAACGTTATCTAAGATATGAAATTTGAAATTTTCGCAGATAAAGTTTTTTCGAGTAATTTTTTTCAGCTTAGTGGTTTCTAACAATATCCATTATCAAAGTGCTGCAAGAGCAAATAGGGTTTATTTTCTAAATTTATGGGGAGACTTAAAATATTTTTCGAGGTTTTTAGTTGTGTTTGGGCTCAACGGTTCTCAGTTCAAGTCGACTTTGTAACCGCTTCGTAATGGTTTACGACGCTGGTTTAGTAATTGAATGCCTTGTCTGACTTGGCATATTTTTCTCCAAATGAACTTTATTTAATAGGTTTTGAGACTAACATATGAAAATTTTTGTGGTTCTAGCTTTTCCAATTTTGCTTAATCTCTCAACTTTACTTTCACGATCAAGGTTCTATCGGTGAACGTTGAGACCAACGTATGAAAATTGTGGTAGATGCTTTTTGATATATTTTTGAAACCTTCAGGTTTTGTGGCTTTTACTCGTCTTATTTTCTTTCAACTCGCCTAAATTTCATCTTTTGTTATATCCCAAGTGTTGCGAGGCTTGCTACACTTTTGTGTGTATTTTTTGCAAAAAACTCGTGGTTTGAACCCTCTGTGCTAATTGTGCAGCAACCGGCTTTTCTTGACCTTATTTCAATAATGACATTGAAAACTTAATGAAGATATTCTTTACCTCAAAAATAATCGTAGGGACTCAAATTTGGTATCATAAAGACCTCTCAGTCGTGAATCGGATTATAAAAAAAAATTATTCTCAGTATTGAGAACAACTGGTACGCCTTTCTGTTTCTAGACCAACTTCAGGCGGCAAATCGAATGATTCTTCAATTTTTACATTGTTTCTCCGTTTTAAACTTATCCCTATGGCTGATTAATCAATATATATTCTCCGCGTACTAGATAAAAAACAACAACCAGATGGTTTGAAAGAAAATTTAATGCATTTGAAAAAAACTATCGTAAAATTGAGCATGGTCAAAAAATTTCTTGCCATTTGCACAACAACAGAAGATAATTGTTTATATTTAAATCAGGGGCGGATCTAGGATTTTCTCGAGGGGGGGGGGGCGGATTTTCAAAAAATTTTCCAAAATTTTGACCTTTTTTTTTTTTAGGTCGACCAAATTGATTTTTCGAGCTCTCCCAAAGCACTGTTTTGCCCCGATTTTGGCAAAGTTTTCTGCGCGGCAGGCAAATTTTTGAAAAAACAGTCAAAAAAGCCATTTTTTTGGGCACTTTTTGAAAAATTTTGACAAAAAAAGCGTTTTTTTGGCGCGCGCTCCCCCTCAAAGTTAGTATATATTGGCGCCGAAGGCGCCTTTAGAAAAATTTTAGGGTCGGTCGGCCAAAAAGGGATTTCTGAAAAAGTATCAAAGGGGGACCCTTTGGGTCGGCGGGGGTCGAATCCCTGAGGGAAGGGGGCGTCCGCCCCCCCAAACCCCGCCCCCCCTAAATCCGCCCCTGATTTAAATATTTCGACAGGTGCTGTATCATTAAGGGAAAATAAGCTTTAGGTAAGTTTGTCTTTTGTGATACTTTATAGTGGCTCAGCTAAACTGTCGACCGACTTCGACTACCTAAGTGAGGTTTCTTTCTGCAGGTCGTGAAGTTTGCACGTACTCCATTGATGTCAACCTACCTCGTGGGCTTCAGTGTGGGGCGTTTCGACTTCGTGGAAAGAAAAGATAAAAACGGAGTATTACACAGAGTATATGCGGACCAAGGCAGACAGGTCAAGGCTCTTCATCGTTTTCAATTGCACCAATACTTATTGTCATATCACGATGCAAAGTTGTGTTAATTTACAATAATTTTAATGATGTTGACAGCGTTAAGATTTTCAATTGATAAATTCGATCTCATAAATTCGATAAATTACATCATATGGTTCTTTTGCCTTCTTTCTGGTATTCTGAAGAGATTGATCTTATCCTAAAGGAAGCGCAAAGTGCAACTGAAGTGAAAGTCTTGTGGAGCATATGGTAAAGGATGAAGAGCCCAGGCGGAAAGTGAGGTGCCGTTGGAACTGTCTGTGAAGTCGCTGGAGATTCTGACTGACTTCTTCAACATTAAGTACCCCCTGGCCAAGTGCGACAATTTAGCTGTTCAGAGATTAGACGTATGTCATTTTGAAGAATTCTTCCTGGGTTTGTTTTTTAGTTGCTCAGTTTATCAAGGGTTTTTGACTAATTGGCACTCAAAACTATGAATGCAAAGCTTTGCTCTTTTTGTTAACTTTTGTATAGGGTCGAACTTTCAATTTAATCTTATTTTTGTCATTTTCAAGTTATAATAAACAATGGTTGTATTGATGTTATCGCATTTCATAACCTGGCAGGATGGGGACTTGAGTGGCAGAAATTTTCTCTTTCAGTGATAGTTATTTCTTATGTTCAGTTTGGGGCGATGGAGAACTGGGGCATGGTGACATACAGAAGTTCTGTTCTCCTTGTGAATCCTAAAGGGACGCCCAATGATTACTTGCAGATAGTGCATGAAATAATTGCCCACGAGCTATCTCATCAATGGTTCGGAAACTTAGTCACTATGCAGTGGTGGACCGAAATATGGCTGAACGAAGGTATGTCGCCATTGCATGGTTTAGTGAGTGGAATTTACATTTTGCATTCTTGGAATTTCGAAAGTTGAGATTTTTTTTGAGAAAAAACCAGACAGTATTGTTTTCTATTCATTTGAGCTCATTGACTCTTTTCCAATAGTCTGCTGGCTATTTTTTTTGCTTATTGAGCCGTTTTTTGCTGGTGTTTTGCTGGTGTTAGCAATTTTGCCGTTTTATGCTGGTGTTAGCAAGGCGCAGCTTCGCCTCTGTGAAGAAATAATGTCGATATTTGTATATACCGAAAAGCAACCGTGAATTGTGTCTGAAGAATCATTGTAGTTTGATCTATTTTTCAAGGTTTGTCATCTCTTACTCCGAGCAAAACTTTGTACGCAAACAATTGTCTTGTTTTACCGTAAACAGGTTTGCTATTTATTAAGCGTCCGTGGCTGAGTGGTTAGTGCGTGAGACTCATAATCTTCAGGTTTCAGATCGAATCCAAGACGTAACCGAATTTTTACTAATTCGAAGTCACTTCATAGAGCTGATTTTTGTCGTGTTATCGGTAGTGTTTGCGAAGCGAAGCTTTTTCTCTGTGTAAAAAGAGTGCTTCTCATCGAAATACACGAGCGTGCATATGATAGTTGGTATGTTTACTCCGTAATTCCCCGTATACTTGCGGCACAAGCTTTAGTTTCGGCACAAGAATGGCCAAAATTCAGCTTTGTCGTGAAAAATCTCTAGTGGCAGCCAGTAACGCCCTCACATCAAAAGATAGATACGACAAAAGAACTGTCTTTGCCTGGAAATGTTTTCTGTGTTCGCAGCCTGTTGTCGATATTTGATTGCGGCAATTCAAGATCCTTAATTTCAAAACTTGTTTTTGCACTTTTTCCCGCCAAAAAACAACTCTTTCGATTCGACGATTCACGTCTCTAGTAATATCATTCACTTTTTAACACCATTAATCCACGAGAGAAAGGACCAACATACGAGCTGTACAGCGCAATACGGCGAACTGCTGTTGCGCCCCTGCTTAAGAACTACATACCATTTTTTTCGTTGTTTTTCTGGGCTGGGTAATGTTGCCTCACCCGCAAGCAACGAGCACGGCTCATGGTGCGCCTCGTACATCCGACCTTTCGATTGAGAGGCGGAGACGTAACCACTTTACCACCGCTCCCTACTCCAAGTCCAAGTGGGCGTTTGCAGGCATCATTGCCCATTGCCCGCCATGATGTCTCGAACAAGGCCTCTCCATTGGCCTTTGTCGCTTGCGGCTTCTTTGCTGATTTCGAACCATTCCTTTTCCCACTTCTTGTGTCATGCGGGGGGGGGGGGGGTTTGATGTCCTTTGAGAGTTCGTCTCCGATGATCTTTCGCCAAGTCGGCTTCACACCGCCGGGTGGCCTTCGCCAGTTGTCTGCTTGCTCGAATTCTAAAGCTGCATTGGGGATTCCTTTTTGGTCCATGCGGAGCACATGCCCCAGCCACTTCAACCTTCGAGCTTGTATAGTTTTGGCCAGGGGTGTCAGCCTAGCTGTGTTCAACAGTTCCACCTTGGGGGTAGTAGTCGTTCTTCTGTGCAAGATGTGTCGTAGGCGTGTGTTCTCGAATGATGGATGGATTTTAGATCCGACTGTTTGGTTGGCCAGCTTTTGCAACCGTAGAGGAAGACGCTCCGTACGCAGGCCATGTACGGGTTTATTTTAGTGGTTAGTGGATCTTCTTGGCGTTCCAGACGTTCTTCATGTTTTTGAAGCTGCCAGCTGCTTTCCCAATCCTTGATTTAATCTCCGGGGAGATGTTTCCATCAAGTTGGATTTTGCTGCCAAGATACTCGAAGTTCTCCACCAATTCGATGACCTCACCGTAGACTTGAAACGTCTGGGATGGGTCTTGTGAACAAAACTTTGTCTTGCTGACAGTAATCTGGAGCCCAATGAGTGCTGCCTTCTCGGTGATTTTTGTTAGCAGTCTTTGCGCGTCTGGGCAGTTATCCTCAAGGAGGCAGATATCGTCTGCAAAATCGAGATCTGCGACTGACGTGTCATCTAGAGTCTTTCGTTTTCAGCGTTTCGTTCATGATCCAGTCTATAGTGAGGTTAAAAAGGAAAGGAGATAGAATCGAGCCTTGTCTGACTCCACTATGTATTTTGAAACTCTTGGAAAGGGAGTTGTAAGCGTGAACTTGGCTATACGTCTCTGAATACGCGGCTCTGAGCAGTTCAACTAGATTCTCAGGGAGGACAAGGTTTGAGCATATTCGTCAAATGCAGTTCCGATCTACGCTATCGAAGGCCGCTTTGAAATCAATGAAGATGAGGTTGGTGCAGCGTTTGATTTCCTCTCGCCGTTCTACGATTTGTCTGATGGCGAAGATTTGGTCCTTGCAACCTTTTTTCTTCTTGAAGCCGGCTTGGTTTATCCTGACGTGAGACTCGTAAGCCGGTTCGAGTCTGTTCTTAACTACTGCTTGGAGAATTTTGAATGCAATCAAGAATAGCGAAATTCCCCTGTAGTTAGAACAGTTAGCTCGGTCGCCTTTTTTGAAGATGGGCGTGATCACAGCTGTTTTCCACTCTGCTGGGATCTCGCGCTTAGTCCAGATGGTCTTTATCAATTCGGTGAGCTTCTCGAGCAGTGGGGGTCCGCCTTCTTTGAAAAGTTCTGGGGGATATTGTCAATTCCTCCGTCTTTGTTTGCTTTCAGTTTGTCTATTGCATCGCGGATTTCTTGCGTGCAGGCCGGTGCCGTGTGTACGCTAGAGAAGGGTTTAGCCGTGCACATTTCCATGCGAGTTTCCGCTGGTGAGGGTCTGTTGAGCACTTATTCGAAATGCATTGCCCAGGTTTCCATCCTCTCGTTAGCGTCCGTCACGAGCTGCCCATGTGGGTCGTTGATATTCTCGCTGAGCCCACTGGGTTTACTGGAAAGTTGCTTAGCAATTGAGTGCACCGTTCGTGTGTCACCGGTGTTATCCGCGTGGGTCATCTGTTTAGCCAGTCCGTCGTAGAACGCCTTTCTGTCCTTTCGGACCGATCTCTTGACTTCTCGTCGTAGGAAGGCTTTTGTAGAGCCCTTGCGGGCACGGGCTCTGATATCTACTGAAACTGGGTTGCAGATCCCTTCGGAGGCTTGTTTTCACCATCTGTTTCCTCAATTAGTTTTGAAATTCGGCAAAATATAATTGAAAGAAGGAAGAACGCTAATTTATATTTTTTGAATTAGTTAGAGTGAAAAAATGTCTGGAATATTTCTGCTGGAATATTTTTTCTGGAATATTTGAGGGTTTTTATAAAATATTAGGCTTTCGGAATGTATTGAGGCTTTGTACGACAAGAAACGTAGGGTTCATTTTTTTGTGTTGTGTTTGATTCTATCGAAATATGCGCAGCATTATGAACTAGTTTAAAAATACCACAAACGTCGATTTGGTAGTAGCATTGGTAGTAATGGTGCCAAGAAAATCGTTTGATTGCTGATTCAACTTTAACGTGCGCTACAATTTTTGAGTTCAGCTCTTGTAAGTTAGCCATAACTCCGTTAAACTGAAATAGTTAGGGCGTAGCGATTTACATGAGTTTTGCTTAGCATGCGTATTTAAAATAATTGCTATTTGATGAGTTTTACTTGCAAATGTGAGAAAACTAACTGAATTCTTATTGCGCTAATAGCTGTATGCTAAGCGGCACACATGTAAGTAGGCTGGTTTCCGATAAAATAAACTTTTGGATCAGGCTTCTCGCTGGTTAACTAAAAATAAAGACCAATGTTTGGTAGGGTTTGCGTCGTTCCTGCAACAACTGGTACCTGACTTGATCCGACCTGACTTCGATATGTGGGCCCAGTTTGTAAGTGGACGCCTCTCGTCTGCATTCACACTGGATAGTCTCAGGACCTCACACCCTGTCGAAGTTGACATCGGACACCCGAGCGAGGTAAATTATTCACATTTTTTTAGAGTCATGAACGTCGTGAATACTCCTATATAGGTCTTGGTGATTTTTTTTCATGAAAGATTCTTAAAATTTGATTTTTCTTGGTTTGATTTTTGATATCTTTTTAAGTTCAGTTCATTTTTTTTGTTAAAAAGGAAGGCAAGCTCCACTATCGAATACCAATATAGTAAAGGTCCCGAAAAATGTGATCGATTTCTTGTTTCGAACATGGAATATAATTTCCAGGATTCCTAGCAAAATAAAATTTTACTTATTGATCCAGTTTTCTCAAATTGGGTTAATTTTTATCAAAAAAAGTGCGTTCATAAATTGTTCTAGAAATTCAAAGAGGTTAAAGGGAAATTCGAAAGTTGAAATTTTTCTGAAAACAAGTCGGTTTTATTTTGTTTCCTTGCATTCATTGACTCCTTTCGAACTGTTTGTTGGCTCTGTTTTTGGTTACTGGCTTTATTGAATCTCAGAAGAAAAGCTCAATATTTGTTCTTGAACGTCTGGTAAAATACCGTTGAGTATTATTTGTTTTAAAAGGAGTACTCCTTCGTCTCAGTTGTTTTGGTTTTGTTCCGACCATCATTGGCCCAGGGTGTTTTTTTTCACGCGAAATAAGTCACCTCAGGGAAGAATCGAGAAGTATCGAATATATCATATTCAGCCGCTTCAAGCCTTGTTCTGATTCCAAATTTTTTGAACAAACAATATTCCTAATGAACAGTTTTCATAACAACTTAGTGCTATAATTTTACAGGATGCGAAACTGGAACAAAGCCCTAGTTTAATCGATTTTTACCATAGTTTAGCTCTTTCTATCCAGTCGTGCAATTTCTGCAATATATTTTTTGATATACTGAATTTCTTACAATGCACTCGTCTCACGAAAATACTTCGAAGAACAATGAGAAATGAAAAAAAAAATCCAATAATCGGTGGTGGGAAAATTTGTGCTTGTTTCATTGCAACTGTCCACTTTTGCTCTTCTTGGTATTAACCGCTCTCTTTAAGTTGCATAGGGTTGCTATAGCCATTATCAAGGGTTTTGCTTTCAAACAATTTTAATGATATTGTTTTAGTTGACTAGTTGCGTGTCTAGGGGAAGGTGCTGTGTTTCAATGTTATTAGTTTCCTCTTTTAGGATGCTTTCATATGGGTAACCAGTGTTGTCAGATCGAAACGTATGTTGACTCCAAGAGACCTGTCTAACTGTTTTTTTTAACAAAGGATGACAGTAGCTCAGACGTATAGGTCGTGATGATTTATTGTTCCGACTTTCGATACGAAAGTAACGGAATATTTGTGCTCGGGTTGCGTTTTTTTTTCTTCAGACAAATTTCTAACTAGCCATTTTTGACGTTTTGACGGATTTTTTTATATCATTCAAAAGGTACTGTTGCCCTGAGCTCAAATTTGAAAAGATAGCTTACCTGTGATCATTTTTCATAAAGTTATGGAGGTTAAAGATTGCCATTTTGGTCAATTTGGGACAATTAACGCGCGATATATTTCGCGCTATTAACGCGTAAGCGGAGAGTTAATCCGTCTTAAAATCGTTGCAAATTGGTTGAAAGAAGCTTATTTGCCATAATTGTTTTGTTACAAGGAGCAAAATTTATCCTTTTGTACTTTATATGGCTTGTGGGGGGATGATTTTTATTTAAAAAAAATTAGATGTAAAAAAAATAAAATGCATTTTTTTTTCTAAAAATTGAAATTTTTAATGTTATTACTGCTCCATAAAGCTTTAAAAGGCAGTCGGAACATTCAGGGCTTCGCCCTGATACGAGCAGTCTTGTTTGTTTTGTTTTTTTTTTCACGAAAAGTCTTAAAATGCTCTAATAACAAAAGAAATGCATTCATTCTTATAAATGCACTTATGAATGAGGCAAAATGCATTCTCCCATTATGAAAGCTGAAATGGCGCAAAAAGTGACCGATTTGTAATTTTAAGATTTCCCATCGGAGTAAAAACTTTTCCTTATACTCCAGTTTTCTGAAGTTGGCCTAATTGTATCAAAAAAGTTACAATTTTTATTGCTCTTGGAATTGAAAGTTTTTGGTTGAAATATATTTTTTTGGTTGAAATTCGAAATTTGTTTCTTTGTGCGTTCTTTTTGTTTCTTTATGCGTTCATTGACTCTTTACCAATTGTCTGTTGGATCTGTTATAATTATTCCGAAATTTTCTTCAGCGGATGAACTTGAAGAAAAAATTGTTTTTAAATTAAATAATTCCTTAAGTTGGACCTCATTACTCAGAAGAATAGTAGTCAAGTTTTCAATTATATGTTTCCATTTAGATTTACTATCGCTCGTTCCTCCGAATTTGCTTTTTACTTTTTGATCTGCTTTGATTAATTGTTGTATCACGAGTGGAGCGAAGTATCGCTTTGCCTTTTTGTCAATCGAATGAGCTTTTCTGAAACCACTTTGGACGCCAATATACACAGTGAGAATCGTGAAGAATTCAAGTGCAGGATAGTTTTCGGGTTCGTGCTTCAAAAAATGAATGATAGTTCGAGTTCAGGTCATTACGATGCTTGGACAATCGATAAATACAAATAGATGCGTTTTGTGAAGGCGACAAAATGTTCCACAAATGCAATCTCTGTCTCCCCAATGAAAATGAATGTGCATGACACTGCATTTATGTTGTTGTTCCGACCTTTGAAAATAGGGAGAGACTTTGTATTCGGGTGTGTTTCAGTTCAGACACCACAAATAATAATCGAAATAAGTCGAGTGATATATCATATTATAACCCTTTCAGTCGTGATTTGAACATCAAAAAATTGCAAAAAATTGTCCCAGTGGTTTTCTAAAAAAAAAATGTAAAAAAAGTGTGCAAAAATATAGAATGGAACAAATTTGACTGATCTTATAAGACTGCGCTCGCCAGCGTTCAATAAAGCGTTCAGTAGATTCGGTGGTAGGAAATCACTGAATGTTTTTTTCGACTTAATAGCTTAATGGTATGAATGTTAGGCTCTTTTCCAGTCCCCCCTTTCAAAATAGCGAGTTTTTTATTTGTTTTACGTGTTATTACGGCTAAATGCGTGATGTTACGCTGTAAAGTATGAAGAAAAAATCTGTTCAGAATTGTCGATTTGTTCACCACGCCATATTTCATTGCATTGTGACAAAGTTAAATAGACTTTTCAAAATCGAATTTGAAAGGGGGGGAACTGGAAAAGAGCCGAATGTTATAATAGCAGTAATGTTATACGACGACGCTATTTCTTAAGACAGAAAATTAGTTAGCTTTTGCGATGAATTTTCTTCAGCCTGAAGGTGATGGCGCGTTCCGCCATATTCGATTGAGTTGCACAATTAGTTTAAGTTGGCTACATCGTTGAGGCAAGTGACTGCTGGTCGGGATGTCCGAGTTCGAAACTAGCAGTGTAACATGTTTCCGTTGTATTTGCGAAGTGCTGCTTCGCCTTGGTGTTAAGTTTTTGCTTATGATGAGATAAAGATTATAAGATAAGTTCTGTGATTATTTGATAGGTGGACGACGTCTTTGACACCATTAGTTACGATAAGGGCTGTTCGCTCAACAGAATGCTCTATTTCTTCCTCGGAAAAGAAAGGTTCACTCAGGGTCTCACCAACTATTTAAATCACTTCGCATACAAGAATGCAACTACTATCGACCTGTGGAACTTCCTTGGGTCAGTTAGATAGAAAAGTGCTTCTCTCATGATAGACTGATCAATAACAAAACATTTAGAAGCCAGCTGCAGTTATTTATTTCGAAGTTTGAAAATAAACGTGGAAATCGGTAATTTTTGAAGTTTTAAAGGTGTTATTTGGCTAGAAATTTTCTGCAATTCCGTATAATATATAATCTGTAATAAATATAGCCGCAAAAATCAATTTAAAAACCAAGGATAGCCGGTTACAAGTAGCACAGAATGTTTCGATCATAGTCTTAAAAAATACACCATTTTTTTCAAAATAAGTGTCGTTTTTTCAGTGCGGTTTGATAATAGGATCTGAACGAAAAACTAGAGATAAGGCATATTCGACTGTCATAAAACAAAAAATCAAAAAAAAAATTCAAAAAAAAATCGAACAAAAAAATCAAAATTTTCAAACCAGTTTTTTCTTGACACTGGGAAATTTTTTTAGTTTTGTTCAACTCACGACTGAAAGGGTTTTAATATGATATAGCACTCAATGATGAGCGAACCAGAGGTGCAAGTTGTAACCGAAATTGTATACCATAATCCGCAATTAAATATAAATTTTCAACAGCGAGTTTTTTTGTCTATTCTAGGGGTCAATTTTTGGTTTTCTTTGACAGAGAAGCTGCGGGTCTGGATTTGAAATCTATGATGCAATCTTGGACCAGAAAAACTGGCTTCCCTGTTGTGACAATTGAAGAAATGGTTCAACTCTCTCCAACTAAGAGACAGTTCAAACTTACTCAGAAACGCCATTTGGACGCTGGAAGTGAAGACGAACTAAAAACTTTGTGGAACATTCCAATATCAGTCATCACCAAAAGTAGTCCGGATAAAAAAGTTGCAACATTTGTAATGAAGGAAAAGATGGAGATAGTTGAAGTTGAAGGCGTCGGGTAAGAATCAACTAAATTAGAAGTTGAGTTTGCTTCTTTCAACCGAGTTGCGTACAATTACAAATAAGGCAATGCGCACAGTACAACACATCGAGCGATTAATAATGATTAAGGCCCCGAATTTCGAAGAAAGTGCGGAATGTTTATGCTTGGGGTGTTGTTTTTTATTCAGTCAATTTTCCCTCGACTGTTTAACGAAACGTTTTTGTTGAATGGCGACTCTTTGGTTTTTTACAAGAAAATTGTTTTTTTTTTCAAGGAAACGGTCCAATTTCTGAAAAGATTCAATTTCCGTTTTCGCATTTTCTGATAATTTTTTCTCTTGAAAACTAAACTGCCAAATCTGAGATTCTATCGAAAAAACATTGCTAAAGAAGTGGCTCAGCGGATCAGAATCAGAGCCAGTAGACATAGCCTTAGGAAAAGTCCATTTTTCGAATTTTACAACGTTTCTTTAGAACTAGCCTACCTAATTTGACATTGAGTTTAATTGAAAGAACGGGTAGTAGATATCTCCTCTGCATAAGCGGCTAATCTTTTAATTTAGTAGAGAAACCACTAAGATTTTTGGTGAAGTCTAGTTTTTGAAAATTATGCATTTCATCCCGCATCAGTTCTTAGTGGGCAGTTTCTTTTCTAGGGAATCCGATTGGTTTCACTTCAACCCTGGCTTTGTGGGCATGTACCTCATCAAGTACCCTAAAGAGAACATCAATCTCTTGAAAGACGCTATTGTACAATCTCCCAATGGAGAAATCTTATCAGCCGAAAGTCGTGCCTGTGTATTGTTCGAAATGCTGCGCCTCGCTACCTCGGGGGAAATTCCTGTCACAGATTTGCTGGAGTTCTTATGTGTGTTTAAGCAAGATAGCCATTACCTTATATGGCATTGTGTGATAGCTGTGTTCAAATCTTTGAGTGGCTTCTTCTACGGGTCTGGCTGCGACCAGGAAAAGTTGAAGAAATTCAAATTGGGAATTTTGGAGAATATAATAACCAAATGCGGATTCGAAGAAATGACCAAGAAGTACGTATCTCGATGATTTCTTTAAAAATGTTGAGATTAAGTTTCGAAAATGATGCATTACGATACGTTTTCTATTTTTGATTTTCGATCGCAGATTGATCAACTTTGATATAAACTACAGAAACCGAACTGTCCAATTCAAACTGCTTGTTTCTAGTAAGAACTCGCATTTGGCCGGCTTGCTTTGCACGATGATTCTGAATGAGTTGGGAAGTATTGGGCACCCAGAGACAGTAGATGAGTGCAGAAAACTTTTCACGAAGAAGGTCACGCTCGGAGAATCGATCCCGGTTCAATTGAGGGAAACCGTTCTAAAAACTGTGGCTATTAACACAACTAGCGTAGAAGATCTGGATGCACTTATTGAACTTTATGATCAGGCTTCTTCGGCGGATGAGCGCAAGAGCGTTGCAGTGGCACTGGGATGTATGCAAACCGAAGAACTGGCGAAGAAGTCGATTGAGTTTGTAATGTCTCCTAGCTGTCAGATAGAAAGCAACCAAGTCTCCTTTTTCCGTGGTTTCGCCTACTCATACCAACTAGGAGATTTCTTGATTAAATACTGCGCGGTAAGAAAATGTTCGGTTGCAACGTAGTTGCAAAGTTTGTATATCATTGGGTGCCGAATTGGTAGAGTTAACAGTCTGAACCTCATCTGTCTATAATGTTTGTGTCCGGGCAATTTTTCTGTTTCTCTTTTTGTACCTGAAATAGTGCGAAGCGCTGCTCCTTTTTGTGCAATGACTCGTTGATGAAGACAATTTTGAAACGTTTAATCAGCCATCAAAGGTTTTTGGAAACTGTCTTAAAACCCCGATCACTATTCCGGAAACTGGGCCTTTCAAATTTTGAAGATCGCTTTTCAACTGCATATAGTCAATGGAAGGAGAATAACGCTCTCCAATAACTAAATTGTTATTGCCTGGAATAATGAGGTTCACTTAGTTTAAAAATGGATTTAATTTTCCATCGGAATTTTGTTAATTACCCATTAATCATTTTTTGAGCTTGTCCTAGAAGTAATCTGCAAGCTTACAACTGTCTATTTTGGCAGGATAACTTCGAGAAAATCTGTGAATGGAGCGGAGGCATGAAGTCTTTTTCGCTCTCAAGAGTACTAGCAGCATGCACTAGTCCCTTCTACAAACTGAATCAACTAGCACCGGCAGAAAGAATGGTAAAGAATTACAAACTGGAAATGTTCAGGAGACGATTTGAGCAAAACAAAGAAACTGTGTCCATAAGGGAAACCCAGATAAAAAGAGACGGAGAGGAATTGAGACAGTTCATTGACAAGTTTTGATGGAAGGAATGTTGTTGGCATATACTGGCACTAAACCAATAATATAAACGTGCAACCGTGTAATTGAAAAAAATTGATCTAGAAAAATTTTCGATTGGAAAGCAGACCAAGAAAACGTACAGTTATCTACACCGTTTTCTATGCGATGCATGTTTTCCGATGCGACTTAGCTCTGATGAAACTTTTTTTCTCTTAAATTTTTTCCTGATTAAATGTTAATGAACGAACTGAAGAAACTTATCTCGGTCGTGTTGTTTTTTTTTCACTTGAAAATTACTTTTTTTCGAGGTTTGACTTCTGTTTTCCGGGTAAGTTGCCTTCAGTGTAATTGCTAAACGGATGATAAATTACAACCCACATTGAGAAAACTGCAAGTGGCGCGCAGAATCATATTTTCCTCAAAAATTGACATCAGTTTCTAGATTTCTCAACGGAAAAAAGTGTTTTGTTCTTATTTTTCCAAATGGGGTTAACATTATCAAGAACTGAAAATCATAGAAGTTTCTTTCAATTCCATTAGTTCTGAGGTTTTTGCTTTTTCTTTGAAATTCGAAGTTGAAAATTTTTCAAACGTTTTTTCATTTTTTTGTTCTCATTGAGGTCATTGACACGTTTCCAATTGTCCATCTGCCATGTTGTGATATGTATGATTTATATAGCAGACGAGGTTTGGATTTCTATTATAATTTTCAAGTTATCACTTTGAAACGTTAAACTCTCTCCCACAAAACGCTTCACATTGCGTGAACATCAGTTTTTACTTCGAGAGAGAGAGAGAGAGAGAGAGGGAGGGGGGAGGGAATGAAATGCGATAAATGGAATGAAGAAAGATTGTTAACTTTGGGCTCAAACCCCATTATCTCAGTTTTGCAAACAAATCCGGACAAAGTTTTAATGTTTATTGGCCGAACAGGACGTTTACGTCCCTCATATCATCTATGACGAGCTCCATCAACAACAACAACAAGAGAGGGAGGGGGGAGGGAGTGAGTGAGGGAGAGGAGGGAATGGAGGGTTGATAGTTCTCTCCTGAAAAACTAACTACAGATAGTGAAAAGTGTCATATTAAGACCCGGGTGTTCCTGATAAATGCTTGAAACCACATACTGATGTTATCATAGAGGATATTTGAGAATATTCGCTCCCGGCCGATGTGACATATTGGTTTTACTTGAAAATAAGTTTTTAATATAAAGTGGTGCTTGAAAGCATTCATTCGAGAGAGTATAAACGAAATTTGCAGTTACCTGTGTCCACTAGTGCATGAAGGTTGATCGGTTTTTAAGTATCGACGAACGTATGGAAGACTCCTTTATAGTAAAAGTCTTAAAAATTCGTTCACGCTCGAATTTGATTGTTTGCGGTTTGACTTACGATTCTTTTTTAAATTCAGTTCATTTCCTTTGTTAAAAGGAAGGCAAACTCCACTATCGAACAGCAAAAGTGTAAATGTCAACTTGATCGACATCTAGTTACGAATGTGGATTTAACTTTTCAGATTTCCAAGCGGAAGAAAATTTGGAAATTCAAAGAATTCTAAGGCCATATTTTTCTTATTTCACCTTATAGAGTTGATTTTTATGTATTATCGCGAGTGTTTGCAAAGCACAGGTTTGTCTCTGTGTTCAACTGTCTGTTTTTAACTTTGTTTTTGTGAGTTGCAAACTTTTTGGTGTCGCTTTTTTACAATCGCATGGATGTAGATGAACTCAAAAGCTGTATTTTGTCATTCTTGCTCAGGAAAATGTTCTTGCTTCGTTCTACCCACTCAGTCAAAGTCACTTTCAAGCATTCAAAAACACTTTAAATGTTCAAATTTTTATCGGTTAGGTAGCTCTGCTAAAGCCGGCATTGCTTAGATGTTTTAATTTGAAATAAATTTCAATTTTCAAGATTTTAAATAATTGTTTAGCAGTCTCACGCATTTTTTTTGCATTTGTTCCGCTGACTTGCTTTGCCTCTTGCCAAAACATACCATGCAACAAAAACAGCATGCATGTAATTTTTCAGCGAATTGTAAGAATTACTTTTCAAATGGAATTGTACTTGGTGACTGTGTATCATTTCAGATGGCGCATGACTCATCCTCTATCTACAGTTTCATCAACAGCGAAATCTCAACTGCTTCATGCCAATCACAGGTAAATTGTTTTAAATTTTTGTTAAGCTTCATTTTTTTTGTAAATAGAGGATGTTGATATACGACATAAAAGGTACATATTTGATCCTGAAACCAGACATATAGGATCAATTAATAATTTCAGACCTAGTCATTAAGAACCATTCTTTTCAAGTCATTGTATTTTCAGTGGCCGAATTACAACAACAGAATAGGTTGGTAATCTACAGAAGTCGAAGAGTTCAATAGTCTATTCTTGTCTGCTTTGTCTTTTCTATCACACTCTGTTCCTTAACCTTTTCTGATTTAATCACGTTTGATTTTGATTGTCTATCCTTAACAGGCTGTGTCCTAATTTCTTCTGGGGTGTGGATTATTTGAGAGTTAAGTTGTGGGATGTATGTATCTTTATCTCAAATCCGCAGAAAAACTCTGGCTCCATAAATAATCTGGCTATAAATGAAACAGCCGCTGGATTACATTGGCCCCCTTCTAAAAACTCTCCGCGTCTGCAGATGGAGTCCAAGAGCTTTACAAGACCTTAAAGATCTACTGCATTTTTTAATAATTACGCCAAAACGAAGTAGACTCAAAACCTATTTCTGTTAATTATTGTCGCTCTTTATTGGAGTAACATGTAGTTGAGGCTCTTCTACCTTTCTATCACACCATGTGTAAGCTTCAATTTTACGGTGCAAATATTGGTTTTAATAAGTTGTATAAAAGGGCAATTTGTGCTGTAGTTGGACAGGTAACCGACTTACCGTAGTTTTATGACAATTGGTCAAGGTGAAAAAAAATTGACTGTAAAAATCGGAATTCGCGGAAACGGTTGAAGATCCCTGTTATTATTTGCGATAGCGCAGAAGCATTTTTCAGAAGCATTTGATATCATCCGCCGCGAAACAAGGCATCGAAAAATAAGTCGATCTATTTTTTATGTAATTTGTTTTTATTTTTCAGGAAAACTTTTTAAGTGTCAATGAACGTCGTGTGCTTTTTTTAAGGTCGTGTGCTTTCTGATTTTTTTTCACGATTAATTAAAGTTGTCCACACTCAAATTTGATTTTCAACTTCGCTTCAAATTCAACTGGTAAACGGAAGCTAAATTACACTCCGCAGTAAGAAAATAGCAAATGACGCCATGAAACGTGATTGGTTTTTATTTCAGAGTTTCCAGTGAAAAAAAAAATTATGGTTTGATAACTTGGTTCGTAATCAAGTGAAAGTAAGCGCTTGATTCTTTTGAATACTTTTGTTCGGTTTTGGTATCAGCGTGGACTTGGGCTTTTCTGAAGTTTCAATCTTTTTCATTGAAGTGGAAGTCATTTAGGTTAGTTTTTAGGATTGTGCGGGTAATTTAGTTTCATGAATTTATTTTAATTTTTTTTGGATTAAAATATTTTTTTTTGTTTTTTTTTTCATATACGATTTTGCAACTTACCGAGAGTAGATTTTGCTTGGCTTGCATTAGTTTTTAAATCCATTTTTAGCCGGCAACTTTCAAAAAGCTCTCGTGTAAAAGAAGTAGTTTCCCTTCACTTCGGATAATTAAGTGAGTACTCTTATATAGGTGCTGCTGATTTTTTTTGTTTTTTTTTTCCAGTTGTTCGCGCTCAGTTTTGATTTTTCGCGGTTTGACTTGTGATTTCTTTTTAAGTTCAGTGCATATCCATTGTTAAAAGGAAGGCAATTTAACAAAAAAGTGTCCATTATAAATTGTTCTTATAATTCAAAGAGCTTTAAGGCCATCTATTATTTTTTTTTCTTCGAAATTCAAAAGGTGAAGTCTCTTGAAAAAACAAGTCAGTTTTTTTATTTTCCAACTGTTAGTTGGCAATGTTTCACTTTGGATGGGTCGGAAAAACTTTCAGAACGTATGAAATTTTTTATGACAGCAGTTTTGTTTTCGACTCAACAGGTTTCGACCCAAATTTTTGTCGCCTTAGTTGCCACTCGATCATTGATTCTCAATGCTTGTTAAGGCTGTTTATGAAAGGCAAAGAATTTTTTTAGATGTTTTTTCGATTTATTTCAATTAATTTTTTCAGCTTCATTGATCAAAACAAAATCCATTTCATTATAATTTTTTCACTTTGTTCGGTTTTACTTCATATTCGAAATTTCACTTTCTACGTCTGTCATTTTCTTTTTTTTAATTTAAATTATCCGAAAGAAATGAATGGTGCTTTGTGTCTGCAATTATATGAAATTATGATTTCAACTCATTAGCTGAACAATCGAATGTTTTTCTGTATCGCAAGTGGTGCAAAGCTCAGCTTCGCTTCTATGTGCAAACTCGTATTTGCTTTTAGAGTAAATGGGTTCTCCTCGTTTGTTTTTAAATGGAATATTATTTTAAATGGAAAGGTCAAATTAGCGGTAAAAGATCAGTTTTTTTGCCGTGTTTAATTACCGTGCTTAAACCTCTTTAGATTAGCATTATAGTAGCATGTAGAAAGTTTTCGACAAATATTTCCCTCTTGAACTGAACATAAGCTTGTGATTTGAGTGATTTAATACTTATTTGGCGCCATTACCAGCATTGCACAAGCAAGCACCGTTTTTAACATTAGAGCTTTTCTCTTTGGAAGCAAATAGTCAGTTCCTACAGTGGTCAAACCATCGGTCGAAATTCTGTTCAGTGTTTTCTTCTCGGTCTCAAGTTTGCCCAATTGAAACTTGGACAAATCGTCGGTTTTGATGAACGAAGCGAACATGGAAGTGGTAATATCGTTCACAATTTTGTCGGATTCAGTTGGGTCAAACAAGTGTGATTTCTTCTCAGCCAAGTTGAACAGAAATATGATGTCTAGCGAGTGAAAAGATCCAAAATGTAAAGGCACTTCGGCTTCTGGGAAGCTCAGCTCGTGTCTCGTTGGGCATTTGTAGTCGAATAAGTACACGTAGACGGGCAGGTCGGGTGAGTTTACAACTTCATCAAGTAGCTCTCTGAGCGGCTGGTAGAACAGTTTTTCTCCGAATAGTTCTCCGACAACTTGTCGGCTCCTAAAGCAAAGTATTCACTACTACTCCTGAAAGAAACAAAAAGTAAATGAGTAAGAGGAGAACACTGCAAGACATGAAGCCATGACATAAAATGAAGCAAAACTACGAAAAGTCTAGCAGGATAATTTACAGCTACAAATCTAATTTTACAGCTAAAGTTACAACGTAACGCGGCTATTTCAAAAGACTCCTAGTTTTTTACATATATCAATATTCTTTACCGTTGACCTGGTCCTAATTGACTTTAACAAAGCGCAATCAACATGGGGCACTTAGCATAGTGGTAAGGCGTTCACTTTAGAATCGTCAGATCGTGTAATCGATCCCATGCCATGGCAATGATAGTGTGTGAGGACGAGCTCTCACTTGACCTCTAGCTTCAGGTCTACCACAACCTGACCAAATTTGGCTGCAAAAGTGGTACCACGTGAAAGTTCTAGACGCACAAAAACGGCCTTGAGTCGCAAAAAAGAGCTTCGCTCAACAAAATAACACAGTCTGGAATGTGGGGAAATAATACAAACGGACTATCCTCGACAGGACTGTTAAGGCCTACTGATAGCTCCTCTGCGATTCGCAGGAACTACAATTATTATTATTATTATTATATATAGAACGGCGAAAAAACTGCTCTTGCTTTCGTTTTATTTGAGATTTGAGAATTTTCAAATCTTATCGTTGACTATAATTGTTAAGGGTATCAGTAGAATTAGGGAGCAGACATTAAAATCATACCAAGTGGATCTGCCGGGGTCCTCTCTTGGGAACAGGATGTCGCAAAACATGCTCCCCTCCGCTGACGCTACTCCGAGCAGAAGTGGTTTATTGTGCGTCAGTCGAGTAGTTGAGGGCAGCTTCTCGTCATCAAACTCGTCAACTGGAGAGAAACTCACCCTTGGGTTTCTCATAGTGTCTGTTAGGAATTGCTGTAGTGAAAATATTAAATTCAAAATTCAAGCAATGTTGCTTCATTATCGCGATAGATTAAAAAAATGCATCATTCAAGACCTGTTTAGATTTCGAAGTTATGAAATAGCTAGAAAACATTTGTCCAACCTACTTCTGTGCTCGTATGAGCTATTCGGAAATTTGGTAACAGTTTTTCAGTACAATTAAGAAAAAATTTGCGATTGAATTGATTTTAAACATGAATTTTGTCTTTCCTTGATTCTATCCTCGGACAAAGACAAGAGAAATTCTCGTATTTGCTCGGGTGTCGGGTGTTTTGGGCCTCCCAGCATCTTTATGGCCTTAAGAGTTTTCTTGTAGTGACCTGCTTTCGCAGCACGACTCCATGTTTTGTTAATGGTTCCACTTGATGGTACTGCACGAGCGAAGTACTGGCAGCTTTCCGGTGACAAAGTGTGATAATGGACACTAGCACCTCCTGTATATAATGGTATAAAGTTAATAACTGAAGAACAAGGTCAAAAGTCTACGTGAAATGCTAACTTGATATTTGAAACCAAGCCCACCTGATAGAAAATTGAGAAGCTGAAACAATTCTAGCAAATTTTCAAGATTGAGTTTTAGTCTTTAAGAGTTGTTTCTATCTTTATACATACAGTGCTGATTTAAATTTTCCGCTGATTTAAATTATAAAACCAAGAAAATTTAAAAAATTCAAACAAGTTTTTTTTTTCAATTTGGGACCAATTTGCTTAGACTAATAGCAGAATTAATTTGGTGCAATTTATTTTGCGAATTTTGGAACCAAAATTTTACACCAAAAGTATGTTATTTGGGTATTTTTAAGTTAATCAAATATTACGCTTAAACTAGCAAGGTAATTGAATATATATGAAAAACTCTGAATTTACAAGTAATGAACAAAAGAGTAATGTTCATATATATCAAAAGGGGCCTCGTACGTAGCGCAACAACGTTTTAAAAAGGTAAAACCTCCAAAAATTGTATAAGAGAAAATAATTTTGTTTGATAATTAAAAAAATGTTCATTTTCCCTTTTGTAAACGCCTTTATAAAATCTGATTTTAAGCTTTTATGAAGACTGATTTAAGAATTTATGAAGTCTGATTTTAAGCTTTTTTTCTTTTTTTTATCGTTTTTTTTAAGTATTTAAACAGTTTCAGTTTATCTTATTTTGATTTAGTGGACTTATATTGCGTGGTTTAGAGGGCAAATTATATCTATATGCGATTGTGTGCTTAAGAGTAATGAACGTAGTGGGTACATATATGGTCTTGCTGATTTTTTTTTTGCAGGAAAAAGTCTTAAAATTTGTTCACGATCAGTTTTGATTTGTCGCGGTTTGACTGGTGATTGCTTTTTAAGTTCAGTGCATTTCCATTGGTAAAAGGAAGGCAATTGGAAATTAATTATCAGATTTCCCAGCGAAATAAAAGTTTTGTATTGATCAAGTTTTCTCAAATTGGGTGAATTTTAACAAAAAGTGTCCATCATAAATTGTTCTACAATTCAAAGAGCCTCAAGGCCATCTATTTTTTTTTTCTTTGAAGGCTCTTGAAAAAAAAACAAGTCAATTTTTTTTTTAGTTTCCATGCGTTCAATACTCTTTTCCAACTGTTAGTTGGCTATATTCACTTTGGATGGGTCGTAAAAACTTTCAAAACGTATGAAATTTTTTATGACAACAGTTTTGTTTTCGGCTCAACAGGTTTTGACCCAAATTTTTGCCTTCATTGTCGCTCGGTAAATGATTTCCAACTTTTTGAAAGCTGTTTATGAACTTCATCCGATACAAGCATGAAGTTTAATAGCTGAAATTTTAAATAAAAAGTTTCTAGTTTTTTTTGCAAGTAGTTTTTTTTTCTATTCAGTATCTTGTAGCGCACATTGTTTTTTGCATCGCAGGTGTTGAAATTCACAAAATAAAGTGCATCGTATTAATTCGGTAAATTTCTAAACAGTTCAGCACAGAACCAACAAGCGAAATCCTTCAACACTTGACAGCCAATAGGCGAAGACCCATCAAGGGGGTCTCCACCTATTGGCTGTCTAGTTTTCTCTTCCATTTTTTGTCTAACATTAACCCATTTTGAGAAAACCTCGTTTGAAGTTTCCAATGTTGCTCGTTTTGTCCGGGTGATTTGAATCAGGACTAATAGCTTCAAATTTACAAAAGTTTACCTGCTGAACAGCCATATATGGTAACTCTATCCGGGTCTCCTCCAAATGCAGCTATGTTCTCTTGAGTCCATTTCATCGCCATCCGCTGGTCCTTCAATCCCAAATTGTCTTCAATTACTCCTGGGTAACTCAGAAACCCCAGCATATCCAGCCTGTAGTTAATGCTTACACAAACTATGTCATGTCTGGCAGCAAAGAAGCTTAGTTGATACATGGGCTCCGAACCACTCCCAATCTTGAATCCACCGCCGTGGATGTGGAAAAGTACTGCCAACTTTTCCTGAGACCTTTGTTTCAATTTTTCAGGGTCAGAGCCCAGAGGTGTGAATATATTCAGGAATATGCAGTCTTCGCCTATTGGCTGTCTAGTGTTGAAGAATTTGCCTTGGTGGGTCTGTACTGAACTGTTTCCAGATTTGTGAGCTAAGAAAGGGGAGGTTTCATGGTCTAACTTCTCATCCAGAGGTTCCAGAAGTTTAAATCTCCGGTCGCCAATTGGCTGCTTGGCATATGGAATTCCTAGAAACTCTCCCACATATTTGTCTCCAATTTTGACAACTTTACCGTTGATTTTGCCCTGGGGTGTATCTAACGTAACTGTTAAATCTGTTTCTTCTGCCATTTTGGTTATGACGAGGGTTGAGCTTCGAATGGAGTTAAATAGAACAAAATTACATTGAGTTGTTCACTAGTTTTCGGTTTAGCTTGTTTGCGCTTGCATTAAATGACGTATGCGTACGAATTATGGACTGTTCGGTAACAATTGACCGCTTCTTCGTTTGGTTTAATAAAGGACAACCAGAGGTGTGAAATTCTGTTTTCTGAAAATTGATTAGTCAAGCATCAAATTCGGGTGCCCAATAGAATTGAATTGTTTTGAACGTGATTTGATTCATCGAATTAAAACGGATAATTGGATCCAGTAGCATGCAGATAACGTGGTTCCATTTTCTATAATTTTGCGGCATCTCTTTGTTTCTTGCCGGCTGATTCTAACCTTTTTCTAAAATGTGCACACAACTTGTGAGGGAAGGGCCTAGAAAAAGGTTTCTTTGTCTGAACTTGCACAACTTGTGCAGAAAGAGCTCAACTTGTGAGGGAAGGGCCTAGAAAAGAAGTTTCTTTGTCTGAACTTCGTAAGAAAAGCTAGAATTTCGACAAAGATTAAATAGTTGAAATGGCGAACTATCAGATAGCTTTCCGGTAAGGCTCTTGCGTTGCTCTTTTCTTTATAAAATAATTTTGAAAATATTGACTTTTTTTATAATAGGAGCGCTCTATTTTTGGGTACTCGGTCAAAATAAATGACTTACTTTAATTTGAAATAAATAATTACAACATCTGCCAGTATATTACCAAATATGAGCTCTTCAACTATACTTATAAGAAGTTCCAGCTTTGAATTATATCACGAGATTTGAACTATTCAACTGTAGATCTAAAAAGTTCCACCATGAAAATGTCGACGACATTACACTTTCGACGTTTGAGAAGCTTGACCCCCTGGTTGAGAAGAATTCTGGGTTCCATCCTCAGGTCTCCCTACAAGCGGTATGAAGCTTGCTACCAGTTAGCTAGCACCGCGAGGTGTATCCATCTCACCTGATGTTTTCATTGATAGTGCTGGCGTCGCAAATCGTAGCCAGGTGTCTGGTTGGTAACGCCATACAATCCAAATCTTCAGAAGTACCAGAATAATTTTTTACGCCATTCGAATTTTTTGCAGCAGGATATCCATTTAGGAGATTCAACGAATTTGGTAGTTTTGTATCTTATTGACTGTTTTGTATGGTTGATCTCTTGGAAGCTCCACTCCTGTTCACAATATTAGATAATTTAGCGCTAAGGCTTTTGCGTTTTTTTTTGTTATTTTTAAATAAAATAATCTTACAAAATACTGAATTTATCTTTGTAATAGTAACATGCCATCTTAACTTCTGTATGCAATATGTAAATACCGCATCAGCAAATATATTGTAAAACCCGAGCTCATCCACTACAGATATAGAAAGTTTCCATTTTGATTTTATGTAATATGAACTTCTTGACCAGAGATATAGAAAGCTCCAGGGGCGGATTTAGGGGGAAGAGCGGACGCCCCCCCCCCCCCCCCCCTCAGGGATTCGACCCCCTGCCGACCCAAAGGGTCCCCCCTTTGATACTTTTTCAGAAATCCATTTTTGACGGACCGACCCTAAAATTTTTCTAAAGGCGCCTTTGGCGCCAATATATACTAACTTTGAGGGGGAGCGCGCGCCAAAAAAAACGCAGATTTGGTCGACCTAAAAAAAAAAAAGGTCGTCAAAATTTTGGAAAATTTTTCGAAAATCCGCCCCCCCTCGAGAAAATCCTAGATCCGCCCCTGGAAAGCTCCACACTCATAGTGTCAACGACCTTACTCTAACCGTTGACTGACACAAAGCAGGAGCATTGGGTGCCAATCTTTTTTTTGTTAGAGGAGTAATTTCTTGCTATAATGTAAATTAATATGTATTTATATTCGAACTTCACTACCTCTCCATGTTTAAGCTTTTTCAACATACTAGTTATGCGTATTTAACGAAAGAATTGAATTTTTCGCGATTAAGTGTATCGTATATTGCAATGCTTAAGGTTTTCTCCAATTTCTTCCGTTTCATTTTAGTGATTATATTCGAAATCAGTAAATCGGTAAAGGGACGCTATGATAGCTCCTCCACTAGACTCAATGAAAAAATGGAAGACAGTTTCTTCGGACGCAAGGTATTTTTCCTACTAAATCAAAAATTTGTCAATCATAAATTATTCATGAACTTCAAAGAGCTCAAAGGTTATATACATTTTTTTTTAATGAGAACAATCAATCAGGTTTTGTCGGTTTCAATGAGTTCATCGTCAATTATCTGACTGTCTGTTGTTGGCAATAATTTTTTCCACGATGCGAATTCTTATTTACTTTCAGTGGGGCTGATAGTAGGATTATTAAGCTTTCAAGATTGAATCACACAGAGTTTGAGCGAGTCATTTTTTTGTATTAGAACCCCGTTGCTTATATTTAATTGTTAAGAAGTTGTTCTAGTTCTCAATTATGCATTGAACCATCAATGAATGATGTTTTATATCAATTTTCAGATGTTTTTGTGTGCTTTTCGTATGATAATTTTATCAGATGAGATGTGTTGTCTCTTTTTTTCCTGGGTTCAATGACAGCTTATATCAAATTTATTGTTGAATATATCCGTTTTTATAATCTGTAATAAACTTGGTATAATCTTTAGACATGCAGCGGAGCAACGATTGATGGCTGTAACGTGGACGCAAACAATCTAGAGCAGTCCAGAGTCTACGGATTTCCGGTCGAGTCTGGTTAGTTGAGAATCCGCTTCTGAAGAGGCGTTGTCAAATAAGTATTTTTTCCCGCTGATTATGTATTTTTACGTTTTTGGGTTTATAGATGGGCTTTGCGTGGGTGTATACCCTAGTCAATTTAGCTCCAGTGGATCAGCAGGAGTGGACACCGCTCGAAGAGACCTGCTTCGGGACTACAACACCACCTTGTCATCACTGACTTCTCAGTCCACACTAGTTGTCATAGTACTACTCTCGTCGCAACTGTTTTCAAAGCGGCAATCTAAATCAGAATCGGCGTTCAGTCCCATGTCCTTGTTTGACCGCCAGACCTTGGAGGGAATCGACAGAACTCACATATTGTACAATCACTTGACCAGGTTAGTTATCATAAGTCCTGAAACAAATATGCGGCGAGATCTTTCCTGTCCCCCCTCCCCCACCACCACCATAACATATCTTTATATAACATCGTCTGATGAGGCAAAATGAGGCTCAGAAGAATTGAGGTTTCGGATTTTGTAACCAATTATACCAAAACAATATCGTCAAAATTTGTATTCTTTAACATCTGTCTACTGCGAGCGCTTTAGATAACATAACAAAAAGCTAGCTTCCAAGAATCTTACAGATAAAGAACTTACAACAGAAAATAAGTTAAGGATTTGATTTCTAATTGAATTTATCGTAGCTCGATGATTTTGCACTAGAAAAACGATGGCTGAACGATATAACTATATGCAAATAGTTTTAAGTAATCAAAATTGGTTCGTGTCGAATGTTAGTCAGAGTAAGATTACCCTGATAGCCGTGTAAGCATGTGACCCAGTATGTTTTAATCACAAATAGCTTGAAAACATTTCGATTTTCCTCATCTGTCAAAAAAAATCGATGGTCAATAACATTCAGATTAGCTACAAAACGTTAACTATTAAATTGAAGTTTTCTGTTAGTAGTTTGATTTTGTCGCTAAGAATTACTAGAGGTACAATAGGCTGAGAAATCAAAATTAATAACGTTTTTTCTTTCAATGGAGAAAGTATCTCTAGTTCAAAAAGAAGTACGATGAGCTCTACATCAAAAAAAGTTGAATTACACTCGTGAGAGCAAGTTTCTTGTAATCTGAGGCTAGATTTTTTAAACACTTTTCTGATTAATCTGTCTAAAATCGGCCTTCCTTTATTATGAAAAGTTAATTATTTTAGTCTAGCGACCCAATTCGTGTAGTGAAAAGCACTTGGTTGAGTTTACAAGTATCTGAATTTTTTTACCAAGTATTTATTGAGGTTCAATATTCGTCTCAATTCTGTTCGGCTTAGTTTCGGTTTTTGAACGAACGATCAATTTAATCCTTTCAAATGTTATTTCTGAGCTTTTGACAATTGTTATATGAAGTTATATTTTTTCGGCGATGATCTGGATTTCGACTGAAATTCTGTCGTTTTAGCTTGCGAATGAAGTGTGAGTGCGTGTGCTTATGCTATATAGCCTTGCAATTTTTTCGAAAATTTATTTTTAGGCTTGCGAATAGCGCGCATTATCAAATCGTAACAGTCTCTTTCCTGGATAGTAACGTGTCTAGCAGAACCATTGATTCATATGGTGCCAACAGACGTATTTCAGGCATCAGAAACTTTTGAACCTGTCTGCATTTTGATAACCTGTTTCTTTCTATTTTTTTGTTGTTTGGAAACCAACTCCAATTTTATTTACCAGCAATTTCGCTTAAATTTTTTTTTTCGGCTGGTTATCAATTAATTTTAGTTAGATTTGGTTTTTCTTTGTTACGATCTAATAACGTTTTCTAAACGCAAGCCTCAATGCAAATTTTTTAATGAAAAGCACTGCAAAGTACTTATATATGTCCTTCCATTCGCGTAATTACACAAGCGAAGTGTGTTTTTTTTCTACGAATTTTTTTTTCCAAGCAAAGTCGCAAATAAGTGCTGATTTTGAGACGCTTTTGGTATATTGAATTTAATCGTGCTTAAGCTTATTTGAGTATAAACAATTTAATGACAAATGTTGCTGTTTACACAAGCAAAGCTTGTGTGATAGTTCGAACTGTCTTTTTTTTGCTATTTAAGTCGCAAATATTGTTTTAACGCAAATATTGTTGCGACAAAATGTGTTCTTCTTGAAAGTGTTACTATTGATCAATAATCAGCTACTAAGTACAGCCAATGCTAAGGATTTTAACACATGCTATTATATTACCTATAGCACTTTAGTTTCAAGGTATCATGGACCTGTAGCGTAGAAGGTTCGAACCTGGGCAGGGTCGGATGTTTTAATGAATTTTTTGTATGCTAGTTAAAATGCGTCCGCTCTATAAATTGAGGCTTGTTAGTGGGTATTTTTTTCAAATTGACTGGTACTGCTAGTACGTCGTAATTGGCTGGCGTCACTTAGCAATAATGTAGACTCATAATTGGTGTGTGTAACTTATTTTGAAAGTTTTGCTCATTCAGTTTTCCACAATAGTGTTATCGGTCCAATTTTTGCTGGTGTATGCGATTTGCAACTTCGACTCTGTGTTTATTTTTGCCTAGGTCGTATTTGAAAACATGTATTTTGAAAATGTATTGGATAAGTTGTTCGTTTTTTTGCAACCCTTCGAAAGTTCTTACTTTTTGCAGAGTTTTCAATTTTTTCAAAAACTACTGTCGCGATTTTCAAAAAAAAATGATAGCAGTGGAGAAACGGGCTGCTGTCCTATATGCCTGCAGATTTTTCTAGTCTCTTTTCATTCAACTTCAAGTTCTACGGCCTTCGAAAGTTCCAGTAGGGGGATTTTTTGCCTATTTGTTTTTTTTTCGTTTTCTCAAATTTTTATTGCACAAAATCTGAGATGAACGGTTCAATAAAAAATTACTAACTATGAGTATCTCCCCTAATTTTGATAGAAAAAAGTTATGGCCTCAAACGTGCCCATTTTTTGATATTTGGGTTAATTTTTAAAACTTTTGACTTCTCTTAAAAAGTAAACCGCCAAATCAGAGGTCGAGGGTTTAACAAAAAAAATCAGTTTTGCAAATCTGACCTGCGTAAACGGCCATCCGATGCGTTTTGAACAAAAATATGGACCTAGAAAATGTCCAATTTTTGATAATTAGCCCGATTTCGGAAAAAAGTTTTCAAAAGTTTAACCTACTGATTCTGAGGTTGGTAGTTCTTTAAAACTAAGAGGGTGCTTAATTTTCCCTGCGCAATCTTTTTTACCTTATTTTTGTAGAAAAGCTGATATGGACTTCGAAAAAATATCTTCTTGATTTTTTTCCGTTTCTTTTTAAAGAAATTTGGTCACTATTTCCAAAAACTACTAACTAAAGCTGATATTGAGTGTTCAATCTAAAAAGTCAGGGCGTGTACACTTTCAATCTTAAAATTAAGAAGTGGAAAGCAGAGGCTCTTCCCTTGTTTTAATAGATAATTTTTACGGATTTAGGAAAAAATAACTTTGTGATCAGTTTTTGGAATCTTTCTCTTTTTTTTGAGAACTAACCAGCAAAATCTTAGATGAAGACTTCAATTGAAAGAGCGAGATAAAAACTAGGGTTTAGAGTAAAATCCATTTTTTGTTTTGAAATTATAAAAATTACGCATTTCCTTATTAGTTCAATATATTATTAAAAAACATCAGAACTGGAAAATCCAGCATTAGCTGGGCTACTAGTTTACTTCCAAGCAACCATGGCGCAGATGCGATTATGTGAGACTCCCAATCGACAGGTGGGATATTTAAATCCGGAATATTTAAATAGTTTTTTAGTCGAATATTTGCTGTATAATATTGGCAATTTGATAAACTGTAGCTGCTTTTTTGATGGCTAATGTTAGTAAAATACGATCGGCTATGGTGCAGATGTGAGAACGTGATTTTCTCAGTCTCAAATTTTTTTTCAAGGTTTATCAAATTTTCCTCATCACTTCGTTTTGCCTGTTTAGAGCTCTCTGTTGCATTTTCCTCGCTTGTGTTTGCGAAGCGAAGCTTCGCCTCTATGTTTTTATCACTTCGAAAATGAAACCGACCGGTGGCAAAGATGTCAACATTTTCTTTCCGAACAAATGGTCGTCTACAACAGTTTTGCTGGCTTAGTTGCCGCTTCCTAATTGTTGTTTTTAATGCTTTTTGTTCCGACCATTTGAAAAAGGCGGAGGAACTTTGTGTTTGATTTTTTGTTTCATCGCAAAATCAGACACGACAAATAATCATCGGAATAGGTCGAGTGAAATATCATTTCAAAGCCCTTTCAATTAAGATTCGAATGACAAAAAAATGAAATTTTTTTTTGCACTGTCGAGAAAAACCGGTTTGAAATTTTTGGTCTTATTTTAATTTAATAAGGTGAGCGTGCAGGCTTACAATAGCCTATTTATGCTTATTTTAAGCCTTAAAAACTTAGATTTACTCGAGTAAAGTTAGTTTTTGGAGTTTTTTTGGTAATTAAAAACTTCTGCAAAAAATTAAAATTTTTTAAAATTTTTCTAAACGATTTTTTGTTTTTTTTGTCATTTTTTCTATAAAACTATTTTACTATTGGCCTTTTTTTACTATGACTGTAGAATATGCTTGAGGTCTATTTTTTCGTTGAGATCTTTTTATTCACGCCACGCAGAAAAAAAACGATACTTATTGGGAAAAAAAATCTTTTTTTTTGTTCTTTCCCAAGACTACGGTCGGAACATTATGTGCTACTTGCACAATAACTGGCTATCCTCGTTTATTTTATAGTTGTTTGAAAATTTTGGCATTTTTTTGATATTTTTGATGTATGGGTAATGGTGTGAAGCTCCACTTTGCCTATCTTAATTTTGGCTAATATGCTCAATTTTATCATGAAGGTAGTGATTTTCACGATTGGTCTGTTATACCTTAATTTTTATTTCGAAATACAAGTTACGAACTAGAGGGCTTCAATATAATATTGCTTTCAATTTGCCACTAGCATTTTTGGAGTTACCTAAAATAGCTTGAAAATCAAACCCACCATAAGTCATATTTTTTTTACCCTGTGTGCAAACATTTGTTTTTATAGAGCTGACAGTCATAAAGGTCCAGGAGAAGATCTCAACGATAATCTGCTAGGCAGTTTGGGCTTATTGGCCAGCTATGCGAACTATAATCTGAAATGTGGTGCATTTGTCGCCATGGAAACTGGGCTGATAGCTTCCCTCTCTCTGGCGGATAAAATGAAGGGACTTTTGGATATGTCGCGCAACAATTTGAAGATGCATATGGCTACAGAAATAGCTTCATATAGATGGGGAAGAGGAACTTTTGGTATCAAAGCAAAACCACCTGTGTACAGAATATCTCTCGATACTGGCAGTCATTTACTGGTTCTCAATTTGGACGAGAGACGAAACTATCTCGAAAAGTTAGCTCAAACCTTGCTGCAGATGAGACATTTGAACGTTAGTATTGAAAAGTTCCTGGCGGAGTTCTCGTCAATGCAAGCTAACCCTGCGCCAGAAATGATTCTACCGCCTTTGATAACTACGGCCGCTCCAAGAACGACTAAAAGAGGCGAACTGGATCTGCATCCGGACATGGCGCTGGAAAAGAGTGAGATTGCAAATCAGGTTTCAGTGAAAGTTAAAGCTACTTATTCATTCATTCCTTCTGTTCTTGAGTATTCGATGGAGTTTGTGACTTCTAAGTATGGCTATTACCAAAGCCAAGAGGTTTTTAAGCGAGATTTTTTTGTTTTGCTTCTGGACAAACAAGTTAAAGTGAAGAAATTTGTAGTGACAACCGGATCTCCGAACCAGCTAGAAATGCATTTGAAAACAGGCTCACTTTTCTTCTCTGGAAAAGCAAACCAGTTGGCAAAAACTGGCAAAGTTAATTGTATGTCTCCACAACATGTAGCTGATTTTAACGATGGTGTTGCTACTAAAGACATGGATTACTTGGTGCTTGTGAAATGTTTAATCATCAGAATTGATTCACATCATCCCTTAGGAATTATTTTGTACAATGTTCAGCTAGCTTCGTAGTCGTCGTTTAGTTTCGCAAGTCACAATCATATAATTTAATTGCATTCTTTATTCAAATTGCGTAGTACTTGAAAATTCACTTAGAACTAGAAGTTCCAGCAGTTAATGAAGGAGTGCAGTTTCTTACCTTGGTTTTCCTGCGTGACGCCCTTCCATGGCCGCACTGAACTCTCCATCTGGTGTTCCATCATTTAATTGCAGTAGACATTGGGAAATGCGCAGAACCCAAATGGGGCAACGCTTCCCAAATAGTTATGATGATCGGTCTTGTCTATTGTTTTTAGAGGTTTGGGTTTTTCGTCGACATTTGAGGGCTCTTATGTAGGAGGTGTGTGGAGGTTCCTGCTGTAAAAGGACTTCTGACTCTTGCAGGAGGAAAGAGAATCTAAGGGTCACCGCTAATTTAGTTTATCGCTCATTTAATTTATTAATTTATCGTCAGATAGCGCCGCGCCAGCTCTACGGGTTCTGACAGGTCTTCTTCCACATCTTCGGCTGCTTCCGAGTCCGTTCATCCACTAGGACTTCCGCTTTTGAAACAGCTAGTCTGAATCTATTTCTGACGTTCCGGGTCGCGACACTAGCGGCCGAGGCAATAGCATCTCATATTCGGGCAGTTGAACTTTCCCTGGCGCTAACGTATCTCCGTAATCTTAACAGAGCTACTGGTCTTCTTGCACCTCTCTGATAGCTTTAAAAACAATATGGCTCCTTCCACTGTAGTAGAGCCGCTTGGCAGATACATTCAGAGTTACGTGGTCGTCGTTCATTTAACGAGCCATGCCACTCTTGTGTTATCAATGGCATCAATGAACGTATCAAAGTGTGTCACTACGTATCATAACACACAGGCACACACAAATTGTTTTCGCTTGTCGACAGACGCAATACAGGCCAGTAAGCCGATATTTTATAGGCCGAAACCAATTTAGGCGAAAAAAGAAAGAAAAACAAATGCCGAAAAAAACAGTCATGAAAAACTTGAATTTTAATTTTTTTAAAAGTTTTTAGCAAATCGTGCGATCCAGATGTGAGTATAAAAACTATATTTTGCTCGAAACGACCCAAGACTAGGTCAGTAAGCCGATAAAATATAAGCCAAAATCATTGGGACTGAAAAAGTAGTTATAATTTCTTTCAAGTTATTATAATCTCTGAGAATCTCTTATAATCTATTATAGAAGGTTATAATCCTTTACTCTGTTGAATAATACGCATCAAAAGAATTTTTCAACTATATTCGTTAGGGTTTTGTTTCTGCAAATAACGAATTCTCTAAAATTGAGATATTTTGTCACACCTTGGTTCATCTGAACACAAAGTTCTACCACGGACCAAAAGTTTTATAGAGATACCATCATATTAGTTGAAAGGATCTCGCGGTAAAAGAAAATAAACGCTTCCTTATAAATCATGAAACTGAAGCAGTATGCTGATATTTTGTGGCTAGAAAATTTCATGTGCATCATGGAACAAATTGAGATGAAATAAAGAAACAAAAGTGTTATAAGTTTCAATTGTTCTAGAAATTATAATCTATTAATATGGATTTTGTTTAGCAAAACACTTGAATTGGAAATTTGGAGAGTTGTAATCAATTATATTCGATTACAACTGTTTTGAAAAATAGATAGAATAGGATCGGTATAAGTCGAATAAAATATATTATAATTGCATGTATTTTGTTTTCAAAAAGAGGAGATAAAAATCGATTTTTAAATATTTAAATTCAATTTTTTCTCAATTTTAGTATGAATGACACATGGTTAAACAGTCGTGTAAATTTAAAGCACGCTCACGCGTTTGTTTCAGAATTTCAGCTAGAAGAGCCGCTATCACAAGTCAACTTTGATCTGAGAAACTCAAAAGCGCAAAAGGTCCAAATTGTGCTTTATTGAAAATTCAAGCCTGGCGTATTTAAACTCCGACAGAACACTATCAAAGGTTTTGCTGAGTTGTAGAGAGTGAAATTGATAATCGCTGATTCAGTTCATCGGCAACAAGTTTTCAAGAAGTAACAATTTTTTTCGCGTTTTAAACTTAGAAAAAGAGCATACACATGCGCACAAACACTTTTTCCGTACAAAACGTCCGAAATAAACGTCCGGTAAAATTCAGAAAAAAGCTTTGCCAAGAAATTTGAATTCATTGTGAACTGAACTTGAAATTATCTAGGGTCTAACTTTCTCAAAAACATTCCCTATTGTCAAAGACTTGCAATGCAAATTAGAAGTTTTTAACACTTATAACCTTTTAAAAACAAAACAGGTCCTAACATCGATTAATGCAGAGCTTTATTTTGATTAAAAGCCTTCCGACTCCAATCAATGCCAAACATTGCGTGATATTATTTTTCAATTCAAGGAAAGATGTTTCTAGTCATGCTCAAACATATTGATGAGTGAAATGAGGTATATTTTATCAAATGCATCAATGCGGATAAGTTTCTCGATCACACAATGCAAGTTGACCAGGGCAACGCGAGATGATTGCTTCACTATTTGAAAGGAGAAGACATGTATATCAGTTTTTTTTTCACATTGGTACGACTCTATTATCTCGAAAAACTGTATCATCATTTTTTCTGGACATCCAGCAATGAAAAATTGTATTTGACCACAATGGAGGGCACCGTTGGCTAGGAAGCTTACATAACTGTTGCTTGCACAAGAATGTGAAACTGAATCAAGCTCGAAATATGCAAGCTTCGCGTTACTAGATCATGGTATAGTGTCCTATCTATATTCTGAAGGCAATTTTGATACATGCAATTTGGATCTTTCGAAACATTTGGCGGTGTTTCTCATTCGATGGCACAGATCTGCGAGATAATTGTCGTCTACTTTTTGTTTTAACGTATCTCTATTTCTATGGTATGGTTCAATAATAAGTGGGAGGAGGATAACAGTTCCAGTGAACCTGGATTGCAGAAGATAGTTTGCTGCTTCAAACATCTTGGACGAACAAGTCCACAGTGGTCCAAAGTTTCGAACTTGCCAAGCAAGGTGATTTAAACTGTGTAGATTCGGCGAAAAAACGATGTCTGTATATTCTTGCTCTGTCCTTATCAGGAATACCCGTATCAGGCTCTCAGCTTCATCTGCATATTTTCTGGTCATTAATAACAGACGGATTGCGTAGCTCAAAATCGAAAGTCTTTCGAAAAGTTTTTGAGGTGTTTTTTCTTTTAACAAGACAGGTCCAATGTACAAAAGCCAGACTTTAAACTCATTTGATTTGAAATGCTCCACCTCCGATAATGGTCGCACCGCTCTGTTAAAATCCTTCGTTAGCTGAAAAAAAAAATTTACAAATCATTTTTAAACCAAGCGTTTGAAGCCAAAAATAATCAATGCTTACTTTAATTGATCTAGCCAAGGTAGGGGGAAAAGGAAAAAGAGCCAGTAAATCAACAAATTTCGTATTTGAAAATGAGGTTTAACTATTGCAAGCAACTATTCAAATTTCAAATTTGCATGCTAAAATTGCTCAAAATTGGCAGATTGCTCTTTTTAATTGTTTCTGCCTGTCTGGACTTTTGCAACTTTCTATATTTCGATTTCTATCATTGGCTCTTTTTCCTTTTCCCCCATCCTCACGCAAGTTTCAACTTATTAGTGTAACGAGTAGTTTTACGAGGTTGAATATGAAGACCAAATATGTTTGTCGTTGCCTTATTAGACGCTATGTAATTTTTCATAACAATCTGACAATGTCGTCAACAAATTTACAAATAAAAACTTGCAGGTGGGGGGGAAAGGAAAAAGAGCCCTATCATTTTGTCAGGAACGAAAGCAAGTGAACAAGATTTGGAATTAATTGCTTCCAAACAAGTGTTACGCAACAAATTTGTCGAAAAAAATTGACCACAAGAAGCTTATTAATAACCGCAAGCTTATGCTTCTGGCTTTTGATAAGAGAAATTCTTCAATTTTTTCAAGATAAAATGTCAATCAACATTTGAATTGACAACTTGACTAATTTTCTCACATTGTATTTTACAGACCCGGCACGGCGACCGGCAGAGAAACAAATTAGCAGAACTTGTTTCCTTTTGGGCAGTATTTAGGGAAAAAAATTGAGACACTTTGTACAGAAAATATTGATCACGCTTTATCGCGAAAATCTTTAGAAAATGAATGATTCAAAAACTTTTATAGTTTCGCCAATAATTTTTTTTGTGAATTTATTGGTTTTCCGAACATTCGGAAACACTTAGGGCCAAATTAACATACTCCCCCTCCTCCCCTCCAAACACGTTTAGGGGGATGCTATTTTGGTTCTGAGTTCAAATTTGGAGTTTGTAAATATGTAGCCCCTCACAGAGGTTAACTTGATCCCACTTATAATACTAGTTTGCAAAATTTCTATTTAATTTACCAATGAGTCTAGTTTTTAGATTTGGATCTACTTAACAATCCCCCCCCCCCTTTAAGGAAGGTGGGGGGGGGGGGCAAGTTAAGAAGGGGGGTAATTGTTGAGTCGATCCAAAATTTCGTCTATCCGGGAACAAATTTAGTTTTCGGCTATCCGGGAACGAATTTATTTTTCGGCTATCCGGGTATTCGGCTCGGTGACATGCCACCATCCCATTGTACCAATATGTGGGAATGTGCTGCTGGATTAGAGGAAAACTAACCGAGGTAGGATATGACGACTAAGACGGAGTAGAGCACCAGTTTCACAATCAGCATCTCAATGTCCAGGGTGAAGGGCTTAGTGTACCAACAGGAGGTATTCCTCAACTGGGTCAGCTCCCCCGCCAGTCCCTCGCAAATGGGCACACCGTAGAACTCAACCGGACAGGATTGAGGTTCTTGTCCCTGCTTCTTCGGTGGTTTCTCAGTCGGCCGTATGTAATTCTTGTTCAGAAAGACAAAGTACATAGTTCCATTTTTTTTGAATAGAACTTCGTCTTTAGTGTTGATTACATTGTAGTCTAATAACGGTAGGTTCTTGGTGTCTATATCCTCCGGAATTGCAGGCGCGAAATTAAGAGATATGTAGCAAAGAACGAAAAATTTAGACTGAATTGAAGAGTTCTCAGTACGGGCAGGTAATAGTAACATTTTAAATGCTGCTAAAGTAAATCGGCTCTTTTTCCTTCCCCCCCCACCTGCAAATTTTTACTTGTAAATTTGTTGACCCCATTGTCCGATTGTTATGAAA